ACAAGCAGGTAAGCTACAGAACATTCAGTGTCCGTGTTTCACCATTACCACTGTATTGATGTTTACTACTGCACGTGAAGGACAAGCAGGTAAGCTACAGAACATTCAGTGTCCGTGTTTCACCATTACCACTGTATTGATGTTTACTACTGCATGTGAAGGACAAGCAAGAACATTCAAGTCGTCCGTGTTCACCATTACCACATTGATGTTTACCACCGCATGTAAGTGTCCGTGCATTACTGTATTGATGTTTACATGCATGCGGAAGGACAAGCAGGTGTTTCACCAGAACAGCAGTGTCCGTGTTTCACCATTAACCACTGTATTGATGTTTACTACTGCATGTGAAGGACAAGCAGGTAAGCTACAGAACATTCAGTGTCCGTGTTTCACCATTAACCACTGTATTGATGCTTACTACTGCATGTGAAGGACAAGCAGGTAAGCTACAGAACATTCAGTGTCCGTGTTTCACCATTACCACTGTATTGATGTTTACTACTGCATGTGAAGGACAAGCAGGTAAGCTACAGAACATTCAGTGTCCGTGTTTCACCATTACCACTGTATTGATGTTTACTACTGCATGTGAAGGACAAGCAGGTAAGCTACAGAACATTCAGTGTCCGTGTTTCACCATTACCACTGTATTGATGTTTACTACTGCATGTGAAGGACAAGCAGGTAAGCTACAGAACATTCAGTGTCCGTGTTTCACCATTACCACTGTATTGATGTTTACTACTGCATGTGAAGGACAAGCAGGTAAGCTACAGAACATTCAGTGTCCGTGTTTCACCATTACCCACTGTATTGATGTTTACTACTGCATGTGAAGGACAAGCAGGTAAGCTACAGAACATTCAGTGTCCGTGTTTCACCATTACCCACTGTATTGATGTTTACTACTGCATGTGAAGGACAAGCAGGTAAGCTACAGAACATTCAGTGTCCGTGTTTCACCATTACCACTGTATTGATGTTTACTACTGCATGTGAAGGACAAGCAGGTAAGCTACAGAACATTCAGTGTCCGTGTTTCACCATTACCCACTGTATTGATGTTTACTACTGCATGTGAAGGACAAGCAGGTAAGCTACAGAACATTCAGTGTCCGTGTTTCACCATTACCACTGTATTGATGTTTACTACTGCATGTGAAGGACAAGCAGGTAAGCTACAGAACATTCAGTGTCCGTGTTTCACCATTACCCACTGTATTGATGTTTACTACTGCATGTGAAGGACAAGCAGGTAAGCTACAGAACATTCAGTGTCCGTGTTTCACCATTACCACTGTATTGATGCCACACCATGTGAAGGACCAGCAGGTAAGCTACAGAACATTCAGTGTCCGTGTTTCACTACCACTGTATTGATGCTTTCACTACCGCATGTGAAGGACAAGCAGGTAAGCTACAGAACATTCAGTGTCCGTGTTTCACCGTTTCTACCATTACCATTACCACTGTATTGATGTTTACTACTGCATGTGAAGGACAAGCAGGTAAGCTACAGAACATTCAGTGTCCGTGTTTCACCATTACCACTGTATTGATGTTTACTACTGCATGTGAAGGACAAGCAGGTAAGCTACAGAACATTCAGTGTCCGTGTTTCACCATTACCACTGTATTGATGTTTACTACTGCATGTGAAGGACAAGCAGGTAAGCTACAGAACATTCAGTGTCCGTGTTTCACCATTACCACTGTATTGATGTTTACTACTGCATGTGAAGGACAAGCAGGTAAGCTACAGAACATTCAGTGTCCGTGTTTCACCATTACCCACTGTATTGATGTTTACTACTGCATGTGAAGGACAAGCAGGTAAGCTACAGAACATTCAGTGTCCGTGTTTCACCATTAACCACTGTATTGATGTTTACTACTGCATGTGAAGGACAAGCAGGTAAGCTACAGAACATTCAGTGTCCGTGTTTCACCATTACCACTGTATTGATGTTTACTACTGCATGTGAAGGACAAGCAGGTAAGCTACAGAACATTCAGTGTCCGTGTTTCACCATTACCACTGTATTGATGTTTACTACTGCATGTGAAGGACAAGCAGGTAAGCTACAGAACATTCAGTGTCCGTGTTTCACCATTACCACTGTATTGATGTTTACTACTGCATGTGAAGGACAAGCAGGTAAGCTACAGAACATTCAGTGTCCGTGTTTCACCATTAACCCACCACACTGTATTGATGTTTACTACTGCATGTGAAGGACAAGCAGGTGTTACAGAACATTCAGTGTCCGTGTTTCACCATTACCACTGTATTGATGTTTACTACTGCATGTGAAGGACAAGCAGGTAAGCTACAGAACATTCAGTGTCCGTGTTTCACCATTACCCACTGTATTGATGTTTACTACTGCATGTGAAGGACAAGCAGGTAAGCTACAGAACATTCAGTGTCCGTGTTTCACCATTACCACTGTATTGATGTTTACTACTGCATGTGAAGGACAAGCAGGTAAGCTACAGAACATTCAGTGTCCGTGTTTCACCATTACCACTGTATTGATGTTTACTACTGCATGTGAAGGACAAGCAGGTAAGCTACAGAACATTCAGTGTCCGTGTTTCACCATTACCACTGTATTGATGTTTACTACTGCATGTGAAGGACAAGCAGGTAAGCTACAGAACATTCAGTGTCCGTGTTTCACCATTACCACTGTATTGATGTTTACTACTGCATGTGAAGGACAAGCAGGTAAGCTACAGAACATTCAGTGTCCGTGTTTCACCACCACTGTATTGATGTTTACTACTGCATGTGAAGGACAAGCAGGTAAGCTACAGAACATTCAGTGTCCGTGTTTCACCATTAACCACTGTATTGATGTTTACTACTGCATGTGAAGGACAAGCAGGTAAGCTACAGAACATTCAGTGTCCGTGTTTCACCATTACCACTGTATTGATGTTTACTACTGCATGTGAAGGACAAGCAGGTAAGCTACAGAACATTCAGTGTCCGTGTTTCACCATTAACCACTGTATTGATGTTTACTACTGCATGTGAAGGACAAGCAGGTAAGCTACAGAACATTCAGTGTCCGTGTTTCACCATTACCACTGTATTGATGTTTACTACTGCATGTGAAGGACAAGCAGGTAAGCTACAGAACATTCAGTGTCCGTGTTTCACCATTACCACTGTATTGATGTTTACTACTGCATGTGAAGGACAAGCAGGTAAGCTACAGAACATTCAGTGTCCGTGTTTCACCATTACCACTGTATTGATGTTTACTACTGCATGTGAAGGACAAGCAGGTAAGCTACAGAACATTCAGTGTCCGTGTTTCACCATTACCACTGTATTGATGTTTACTACTGCATGTGAAGGACAAGCAGTGGTATTGATGTTTACTACTGCATGTGAAGGACAAGCAGGTAAGCTACAGAACATTCAGTGTCCGTGTTTCACCATTACCACTGTATTGATGTTTACTACTGCATGTGAAGGACAAGCAGGTAAGCTACAGAACATTCAGTGTCCGTGTTTCACCATTACCACTGTATTGATGTTTACTACTGCATGTGAAGGACAAGCAGGTAAGCTACAGAACATTCAGTGTCCGTGTTTCACCATTACCACTGTATTGATGTTTACTACTGCATGTGAAGGACAAGCAGGTAAGCTACAGAACATTCAGTGTCCGTGTTTCACCATTACCACTGTATTGATGTTTACTACCGTACGTGAAGGACAAGCAGGTAAGCTACAGAACATTCAGTGTCCGTGTTTCACCATTACCACTGTATTGATGTTTACTACTGCGTACGTGAAGGACAAGCAGGTAAGCTACAGAACATTCAGTGTCCGTGTTTCACCATTACCCACTGTATTGATGTTTACTACTGCATGTGAAGGACAAGCAGGTAAGCTACAGAACATTCAGTGTCCGTGTACCACTGTATTGATGTTTACTTGCATGTGAAGGACCATTACCATTACCACTGTATTGATGTTTACTACTGCATGTGAAGGACAAGCAGGTAAGCTACAGAACATTCAGTGTCCGTGTTTCACCATTACCCACTGTATTGATGTTTACTACTGCATGTGAAGGACAAGCAGGTAAGCTACAGAACATTCAGTGTCCGTGTTTCACCATTACCCACTGTATTGATGTTTACTACTGCATGTGAAGGACAAGCAGGTAAGCTACAGAACATTCAGTGTCCGTGTTTCACCATTACCACTGTATTGATGTTTACTACTGCATGTGAAGGACAAGCAGGTAAGCTACAGAACATTCAGTGTCCGTGTTTCACCATTACCCACTGTATTGATGTTTACTACTGCATGTGAAGGACAAGCAGGTAAGCTACAGAACATTCAGTGTCCGTGTTTCACCATTACCCACTGTATTGATGTTTACTACTGCATGTGAAGGACAAGCAGGTAAGCTACAGAACATTCAGTGTCCGTGTTTCACCATTACCACTGTATTGATGTTTACTACTGCATGTGAAGGACAAGCAGGTAAGCTACAGAACATTCAGTGTCCGTGTTTCACCATTACCACTGTATTGATGTTTACTACTGCATGTGAAGGACAAGCAGGTAAGCTACAGAACATTCAGTGTCCGTGTTTCACCATTACCACTGTATTGATGTTTACTACTGCATGTGAAGGACAAGCAGGTAAGCTACAGAACATTCAGTGTCCGTGTTTCACCATTACCACTGTATTGATGTTTACTACTGCATGTGAAGGACAAGCAGGTAAGCTACAGAACATTCAGTGTCTTTGTGTCTCCGCCCCATCACAGCATTCAGGGAATGATGTGTTCATGGTGTTGAAGTTTATATCATCTCTGAATAAACGATATATCCAACCCTAAAGTTCAGTAGGTGTTACACTGTGCGGTGTTTTGAGCAGACTTGTTGACAAAGTGATGACAGAAGTGACGTGACGCTCTACAACAACACCGATGGAGCTTCGGCCTCCATGAGTCCTGGCTGGGAGAGTGATGTACGCACCTGCACTGACGGCCCAGTCGACCCTCCGGTCAGTCTGATACTTAGCTGACATCGCTGTAACAACAGGACATCACATGGTGTGCTGCTGGCGCTGAGTGTACAACAGACGCAACAATGCTGGTGGAGAAGACAACTTGTCCACCTCGGCCAGAATGTCAGATCAATTCTCACATCAGGTAGGACAGTCTATTCTGGGTACAGGTACACCTTGATGTGATAGTCAGTGTTGTACCGTGAACATCAAGTAGGACAAGGAAGGGAAATATATGGATGAACACTTTATTGCCATGTGATAGTCAGTGTTGTACATGTTAACAATGTTGCCATATGATAGTCAGTGTTGTACATGTTAACATTGTTGCCATAGTGATAGTCAGTGTTGTACATGTTAACATTGTTGCCATGTGATAGTCAGTGTTGTGATATGATAGTCAGTGTTGTACATGTTAACAATGTTGCCCATGTTAACAATGTTGCCATGTGTGATAGTCAGTGTTGTACATGTTAACAATGTTGCCATGTGATAGTCAGTGTTGTACATGTTAACAATGTTGCCATGTGATAGTCAGTGTTGTACATGTTAACAATGTTGCCATGTGATAGTCAGTGTTGTACATGTTAACAATGTTGCCATGTGATAGTCAGTTGTGTTGTACATGTCCATGTGATACACATGTTAACAATTGTCCATGTGATAGTCAGTTGTACATGTTAACATTGTTGCCATGTGATAGTCAGTGTTATGTTAACAATGTTGTCAGTGATAGTCAGTGTTGTACATGTTAACAATGTGTCCATGTGATAGTCAGTGTTGTACATGTTAACATTGTTGCCAAGTGATAGTCAGTGTTAACATTGTTGCCATGTGATAGTCAGTGTTGTGTCTTCTACAAGTTAACCTGAAATCCGTAGCCATGGAATCAATGCATAGAACTCATGTATGCATGGGGTATGGCAAACCTGAGTTTCAGCAACTTGGTATTAACAGATTTTTAGAAAAAGAAAAGATGACACTTGTTTTGCATCGTCTGTCAAAGAAAATAACCTTGATGGTGCCATGAAACTTCTTGTCGCCATCATCACACATGCAAAGGCGCGGTTGTCAAAGTTGTTGGGTTCGTGAATATATATGTTTGGATACTTTTTTATATTTGGGTTCTTTTTAATATTGTTCACAGAATCATACCTAAAACATCCTCGTCTTCCGAATGTCATCATTAGACAAAAATACCCACAGCTATGATACTTTTATATATAATATGATACGCCCTCGGTTTGGCAGTTTCAAAAGGGCAGGTGTTCACAGAACCATTGGTACAGTTGGGGATGATGGTTTTTTTTATACTCAAAAGGTCATAGCAAGGTAAAATGAGCATTACAACACACACACACAGTAAGTAAGTAAGTACGTCACTCATCCTGCATGTCAAGTCAGTATCATTGACCCCACCCCTTCCCATAATCATAAAATATTTTCATGTACAAAATTGATGACGCCCCCTAGCACATGTGTACAAAATTTATGTCACGCCCTCCCGAAAAGACAACAAAAACAAAAAAACAAAAACAACAACAACAAAACCCACTATGGGTGATTCCCCCTTAAAATCACCATCAACCCCCCTGGCCATAAATTATGAACGGTCCTTTATATGATCTCAATATTTTGATGAACAGCTTCCTGAATAAAACCTGACGACCAAATGATTTTGAAAATAGGACACGAATCTCTATTAGAAACGGGGGTGATCATTTTGGGGAACATACCTGAAACTTTAATCTTCAACAATTCGAAGAAGATGATGTTTAGGACGAACGACTCAAGAAAGACTGTAAACTGTCAATAAATACCATGAACGTAAGTGTATATATTTCATGGGTAAATGTATGTTGGCGTGGGGGCTTGTGCTGGGAGCTGGGCTAGTTGTAGTGCACATATCAGGTGTCACTGGTTTGTCTGACGCTGACCTTGTTATCTAAAGGCGACCGCCGCAGGGTCAACGTTACAACGTTACAACGATGTGAAACAATAATAAACACTCCACCATGCAGTTGACTACTGCTGCCAGTTGTCCCTGTGTTTCAGACTGCCGCTACCCCCGACGTATGGCCGACTCTGTGTGTTTGCCACCTGCATCAACCCCATCCTTGGCCCGCTCGCCCTCGGGGCCAACCACAGGGCGCTCCGTCTCACGCGACACGGACACTACACGGTGGCTAACTACTACTACTTCGCCGCCATCTTCTTCAGCGTGGCCGCCTGCGTGAGCACCGTGTGTGCCCTGATACTGCTCACAGTGGAGCTGTCCATCAAGAGGAGTCAGGAAGCACAACAACATCGGGAGCTGGACAAGCTGACCAGTCAGTGCCTTCAGTATCTGCTCTTTCTGGACCCAAGCAGGGCCGTCGGCCCTACCGAAGATGTCTGTAAAGACATGAGCCGTTTCTCTGTACAGAAAGTGAAGAAAGCCTTGACGGAAATGGCAGAAAAAAGGAAAAAGGCCGACATGAAAAGGAAAACGGAGCAGACATCTTTAAATTCTACTGACGACAATTAAGTGTCTTTAACCTTACATTGCATTCCTACGGTATGAACACACTAGACGTAACATGACTTCTGTACGAACATACACTGTATTCTACTTACACAATGGAAGTTAAAAGGACGCAACACTTCACCACTTCCACTTCACTAATCAATACGAAGGTGTAACAGAACACTGGTTGCAGTAGTGTTGTGTAGCAATTTCACTATTTGCTGACCATTTGCTGTGAAGATAGTGTTTGAACTTACAGAAAAAAACCCCAAAATATTCTACAGATATTTTGCTAGGTTGGAGGTATCTAAATCCTATCAAACCAAATGTTGCAGTTTTCAAGAAAGGTCGGAAGAAATCGAACCAGGAGAAATGATTCTTCCGTTCAGAAAGACTTGAAGTAGTAGCATACTATATAGTGTTTGTTTTAACCCTTTGTTGCCAGAAGGTATATACAATAGCTCTCAGGGCTTTCGGGTTAAAATGATAATGCAATGTAGATTTAGATTTATGCCTGTTAAATACTTTTTTAAAGATCCCTGGTGATGAAATACCGATCCACGCCTCGGAACTTGGGGAACCTAATGTCGCTACAGTGTTGGGAAAATCAACACACATTTCTGCAATTTCTTTCTTAACGTAGTTCTCCGAGTTGTCTCCCCCTGGCCACGTTTACCCAGACAGCAAGATACACGATACTGCAGCTTTTTAAAACACGCCTTGCTGACTGGCGAGATGGACTTGGCCTCAGCAATTTATAAACCTTGCATTTACATATCCCGGGAGGTTGAAAATAAAGTAATGTTGTTATAAACGTTTCAGCAACGATGTAAGGATATGTCCTGGCAAGAAGGGTCATACGAACTGTTCACAATCGCCACATGCCTGTTCCATGTTGAAGATTACTAGATTGACCATCTAATTATTCTATATGAATACGAGCATAGTTAACGAACTTCAGATGTGAATTCAAAACCTTAATGTAGTTATATATGACATGCATGTGTACTTACTGCCAATATTACCAAGACGATCAATACGATCAATACATTAATTTATTGATATGTCCAGAATATAAAGTAACAAATGAAATACTAGATCTATATGTCTATTAATAGTGTCATAGAATATCAGTAAATGAAGTAAAAGTATTCAAAACGTAATGTTAACTTTGTCAATCATGAGTGTCACCTGCTAACTGTCACCTATCTATCTCCATCCATAATTTTTACAATAAAGTAAATAATAAGATTACAGCATTATTGGCAATTACCTGTTTCTGAAGTTCACATATTTGAGTCATCTTTAAGGGGGCATATTCACTGTTGATAGCTATGTTTTATCAAGCACTGAACGTTCGCGGTAGCAGCATTTGACCTGACCTAATTACCACTGTGTGTCACTACGCTATTTACATTAATGAATAATCTTACTACTGATGTCAATCTGTACTACCCATCCCTTAAAATCATCATCATCATCACACACGCACGCACGCACGCACGCACACACACACAGCCATAAATTATGTACGGTCCCTTCCTTCACAGTCTGCTGTCCGTTTTCTCTGTTTGCAGCTGCCAAATATTTTAGTAAATCTTGTTTGTGTCCGATTTATTAAAGGACACATAGGACAACATCAATTCCTGGATACAGGGCATATTTACGCTACATTGGCCCCAAGTTATCAATGGTCTTTTTAGTCAGTCAAAATGTCGTCAAACCGCTTGGTCTGAATAAATATGGTTGTCCTTATTATTGACATACCAGATCTTAGCACAATTCTCATTTCTCCATCATGTTCGATCTTTTCGGACACCTTGTATCACATTAGGACAATACCAATTGATGAAGGAAATTCTTTTGTAAATTTCACTTGTCATAGAGATGACCACCAAAACAAGATGGCGGCCACTGACGCTACGTTGACGGAAAGATATTGTCCGGTTAACCATAACAAATTGTCTCGATGTTGTGATTATTGCTGCTGTGTCCTAATTTTATTTGGACAAACAGGACAACATAAGGACAATAAGTAATCACTTGTGTTAGAATGACACTAATTATGCAGTGTTTCTTGTATGAAAGCCATCAAACCTGCGTTCTGGCTGAGAAAGGTAACATGACCTCTTAATGATGCCTATAAATACGATCACTAGTCAAGCTCAAAAGCACCTAACTGAATGGAATGGAAAAACCTCAAGAACATTCAGTTTGACACCATACTATGACATTCCATTCATTACTATAGGCTCCTGCTCTCACGTTTACCTGGCACCTATACCACCCCTTATATTTATCATCATAACTGCCACTAAGTATATATTTTTAAGTCAAATTTAGAATCACGTTCTTGATGAATACATGATTTCCAAAGGAAATCAGGAACACATCATTAAAAGAAACTTTTAAATCTCTGCTAAAGACCCATCTATTCACTGCTGCTTTTCTGTAAATGCTATATGAACTATTTCCTTCCCAAATATTGTCACAGCGCCACTGAACATTCTGAGCACGGGGGATATTAGGCGCTTTATAGTGAGTGAGTGAGTTTGGTTTTACGCCGCTTTTAGCAATATTCCAGCAGTATCACGGCGGGGGACACCAGAAATGGGCTTCACATATTGTACCCATGTGGGGAATCGAACCCGGGTCTTCGGCGTGACGAGCGAACGCCTTAACCACTAGGCTACCCCACCGCCCCAGGCGCTTTATAAAAATTATCATTATTTTTATTATAACATATTATACACAGTATCATTTCTGAAAGAGATTCAAGTTGAAATAACCGTGTAATTAAATCTATCTATACAATGCCGTCCGGTAATTCCGCGCACCTAAGCACATCGATCGCAACACAGCAACTGAGGTCTCTTATTTTTTTTGTGGTTAACGTGACTACACATGTTGGTATGCATTTACTTAGAAATATAAGTTTTATTGACGACTATAAGACTCTAATGTTGCATTATGCCATACGGCTGACCTTACCGGCGTTCTGACATCATCGCTTGCTGTACGGGAACTCTGCGCAGCAACTGATGCGCATAACATCCAGCTGGAGATCCGAAGTATGGAAGCGTATTAGGGCCAGATTATTTTCAAAAATCGCTTCATCAATGTAAGGAAGAGTGTTTCATATTTAATCCAATTATGAATAATGAATAAAAAGGTTTAAAAGTCTGAAGAACACGAATTTTCATAAAACTGTCAATTTATCTTTCAGTTACTGTTATTTACTTACCTTTAGTGATTAAAAGCCAGTCTCATGTAGAAATGTCCCCCGATTTCAAGCGTAAATGTGGTAGCAGACGATGTTTACCTTCGATACAGAAGTACGCTATTGCAGCTGCGCAGAATTACCGGACTCGCTTGTAGGCTTACTAATGTTCGATCAGTACTGGGGATATTTATTGTCATCATTTATTTTATTGCATTGTTAATAAGTTGCACCAACATTGTTGCCATTAAAACAGAAGTAAACATCAAGTTTGCATTCATCGCTGCAAACTTTGTTTTCCGTACTTCGTCATTTCCTTGTGTTATTTGTCTTCACACGTGCACCCAAGGGTGTTACAATATAAATATTCAAAACATAGAAATGTGTGCTCGGAGAAATGTACAGGGTTGGCGCTAAATACTACTCCCCCATTGTGGGTTGCGGGTGTTTAGGACAGTACATGTGCTCACGTCTGGCGAGGGAGGCAGACGTAGTTCCGGTTCCGGTCTAGGATGACGTACAAGTCGTCTGCAAACATGAATAGTGTGAAATTGTTCTAGAAGACGTTGTTATGTAGTAGTGTGCAATCGATCATGTTTTTCTCATAATTGTTGTTTTCTAGAAGACGTAACATTTTATGTAGGCAGCGTTCCCAACATACTGCTCACTACTGGTTGTTCCATAAATGGGTCTGTGATGCTGTGATGTAGTCGTCGGGGAGGTCGTTCTCGGATGTAGCGAGGTTACTGCTGCATCCACAGACACACGATAGCTGTATTTCGATCATGATCGCTGAAACATTTCGTAATCAGGCTAAAACAATGAAGTGTCTGCTTGGTCCCCCGGGAGTCATCAACATGAACAGCAACAGCAGCAGCAGCAACAGCATCGGAGGATTCACCGGACACACGGCAGTAGTTGATTATACACTAAAACAGATGTTGACAGAGGTCCCTCAATTCTTGACTGTTGATAATCGTTGGTCGATCAGTCACCTAGGTGCATTGTTTCCACTGTGTATGGTTATCAAAATATAGGCTGACCTAGAATCCATCAGTTTCTAAACATTGTCACAAAGTGTCTAAATAAACATATGCTGCATGCGTTTTGTTCACAGCATGGTTGAACTAAGGGGCGAGGCAATCAGTCGCTGGCTCCGTCACCTCCGTGTACATGATATCATCACATGGGGACACGCTGTACTGCAGAGACATATGCACTTTCACTTCTTCGAAGAATTTTATTAAAAATATATTCCACTAATCTGAACATGGTTGATTTCGGCACCAGATTGTTGTATTCTCGATCCATAATTACATTTTCCGTTTGAATTGTTGTTGTTAAAATGAGGTTTAAAACATAAAATCTTTATCTGAATAATTTGTGGAAACTTCCACATGCTTCGGTCGGATAACACTGTACACTGCTCCGAGTTAACTGATTGAATCCTTACTCCCGACCTTGTCTGTTACACTAACGTGTGGAATTCGGAAAGCGGAGAAGTTATGTCTACATTTCAGACTTGAATCAATGCTTTATCTCAAACACAGGTGTTCAACATGGATATACGTATTTTGCCACGAGGTGTTCAGCGCAGCTACACGTGTTAAATGACTGGATGTTCCAGCTCTACCGCCGCGTGTCAGCTTAATGATTAAAGATCCAAACATTTTCCACTTTGGTGTATACCACAAGCATAGGTATGGAGTTGACAAACCTTGAAACATAATCGGAGTGCACGGGGATTCGAACTCTCGATTATACGTTACTGACGTGCCTACAGGGCGCAACTCCGGACAGCATATCGCGGGCCGACCTTAGACAACTGGTCACCCACACCATCGTGCACACAGCCAGAAGGAGCTCTACGCATCCAATGATAGACAATATACGTAATACCTGTTTAATACTTGTCATTCATGTAGGTGCCATATCAATAACTGTCTCCTCCACCCTGGGACTGTGTACAACAGTGTATTGGGGTTACCCCAGTACTGATTACACCCTTTAACATTGCTTGCCGACAGGGTTCACATGTAGGTGCCATATCAATAACTGTCTCCTCCACCCTGGGACTGTGTACAACAGTGTATTGTGGTTACCCCAGTAGTGATTACACCCTTTAACATTGCTTGCCGACAGGGTTCACATGTAGGCGCCATATCAATAACTGTCTCCTCCACCCTGGGACTGTGTACAACAGTGTATGGGGGTTACCCCAGTACTGATTACACCCTTTCGAATTGCTTGCCGACAGGGTTCACATCTTTAAAACTTGGTCATGTGGACAAGGCGACCTCAGGTGTTAAGGTCTGTAGTTTGAATCCCATCACGTAAATTTTATGAATGCGACATGTGGATCAAGAATATACAAAGTATGTCTTATGTTTTGGCATCCGTTCACACACTAAGTCTAAAGAAACTGATCTTCGAATTGGCAGTCACCTTTCCAAACGTGATATATACACAAAGTTACGATGCTCATAATGACTGGATTGTCTGGTCCAGGCGTGATTATGTACACACAGTCTCCATATAGCTGGAGTATTGGTGAGTGAAGCGTTACAAAACAAAGAGAAATATAAACAAACCCAACTCTGCGCTCCTTCGTTTTATACCATTTTTGTCATTTCAACTTTTCTATGAACCCAAGATGGCAGCCCCCATGTAACATGTGTGTAGCACGGTCCAATATGGCCCAACATCCTCAATCATCGTGTTTGTTGAGATATGTGCTCTTTGAATAGATTATCGATAACAGAGTACGTGTATGTAGCTGCTTGTTTATCTTGAAATATGCTGCACCCAATCAGAATCATAGCGTATTCATCACCGTGTTTGGCTGCAAGGGGGGCCCTGTTAGGGTTGCACAGTCATGTTGCTAGGTCCTTCATGCGGTTGTACCGAGCCGTTGACCACGACGACATGTCGAAGATCAGGAACATTGGAATCATGGCTCACATTGACGCGGGGAAAACAACAACCACTGAAAGAATGCTGTTCTATTCCGGATATTCATCACACCTGGGTAAATACATGTTGAATAATCACAACGTATAATTTCTTGAAATCGTGAATATCATTGATTATTAAAGATGTATCTGTCAAACTCAATTTATGAATGATGAATTCAATTTAGCCAACCCTCAAATTGCCTCTTAATTGTCAAAGTAATGTTTTAGTTATGTAACATGTTATATCTATATCATTGGATTTTTTTAGGAAACGTTGACAGTGGAGACACTGTCATGGACTACATGGAGCAGGAACGTGACCGTGGCATCACTATCACCTCCGCTGCCATTACCATCCCCTGGCAACATCACCGCATCAACCTCATCGACACACCTGGTGGGTTCATTGTGCGAAATAGTTTCCAAGTTTTGCTAGGCAGGCGGGCTAGCTATGCCTGAAAGTTACCAGCCCACAAGATAATTCACAAATTTGAATGTAGAAACTAAGCAATATAAACAAAAGGTAAAAGACCATCATTTATCAGGCCATAATCTTGCATGATTTAAAAGTGTATTTTAGCTTGATAAGTCGGAGAGAATGATATATTTAAAAAATGACCCCATGAAAATTCACTAACCAGTCTGGCCAGACTGGAGATTTACTAGCCTGACTGGATTTTTACTGGCCACAGGCTCACTCACTCACTCACTCACTCACTCACTCCAACAAACAACTTACTGTGAAGATATTTTCATTAGCAATCATGCACACAACCGGAACAAGTATAAAACCTATTGATTACATTTTTAAAATCTAGAACTTGTCCTATGTATTGTGTTTGAGACTGTGATGTTGCAGGCCATGTTGACTTCACTATGGAGGTGGAGAGGTCCCTGAGGGTGCTGGATGGAGCAGTCACCATCTTGGATGCATCAGCAGGTGAGTTGGTGAGGAGCTTATGTTATGTGTGTGTGTGGCGGCATGCTGTGTGTGGGAAGATGTTCAGTCACACCATTAACTGAAGAGTTGTGACGTCCAGGTGTGTTTCAATGTTTGTGTCTGCATGCTGTGTGTGGGAAGATGTTCAGTCACACCATTAACTGAAGATTTGTGACGTCCAGGTGTGTTTCAATGTTTGTGTCTGCATGCTGTGTGTGGGAAGATGTTCAGTCACACCGTTGACTGAAGGTGTGTGACGTCCAGGTGTGTTTCAATGTTTCATTATGAGTGACCACTACTGTGTCCACCCTGTGGTCAGTCAGCTGCATGTAATCATCAAGGACAGTTGAAGGTTGTTAACAAGGAAATGTTGGTTTCATGTTGACAGGAGTAGAGGCCCAGACTCTGACCGTATGGAGGCAAGCTGACCGTTACAACATTCCAAGGATGGTGTACCTCAACAAGATGGACAAGCGTGGAGCTAACCTCAAACTGTGTCTCGACTCACTCACTCACAAACTGAAAGTGAGGCCCATGGTCCTGCAATTGCCACTGGGGGCAGAGCGAGGCTTCCATGGAGTCCTTGACCTGGTCAGTATGGAGAGGCAGGTTTGGGACTCTAGCATGAGTCCTGATGGAACTGTGTATGAACAAAGTTCACTCCTTGAGTCAGATCCCCTCTACGAAACTGCTCTGAATGAGAGAAACAATTTGATTGGTCAGCTTGCTGATTTTGATGACAGGCTGGCTGAACTTGTTCTGTCTGATGATGTGAGTAACATTCCCCAGTCTGTGCTGCACAATGCCATCAAACTGTGCACCGTGAAGCAGCACCTGGTGCCAGTGATGTGTGGGGCCTCCTTCAAGAACAAGGGAGTACAGCCACTCTTGGATGCCATCATCCGATACCTGCCCAGTCCCATGGAGGTCAGCTATGGGTTTGCTGAGCACTATGGGAGTGACCTTTGTGCTCTGGCTTTCAAGGTCATTCATGACAAACAGCGAGGCCCTCTGACATTTCTGCGAATGTATTCTGGGATGATGAAGAGTGGGGAGTCTGTGTACAATATCAACCGTGGCGTGACGGAGAAAACAAGCCGACTGCTGCAAGTGTATGCCAATGACTTCCATGACATGTCCACAGCATCTGCTGGCAACATCGTCCTCGTGGCAGGACTGAAACAGGTGCCCGTCTTGACTTGTGTGTTGTTGGTGACCCCACCAGGTAACACTGGAAGATGTTCTGCTGTAGGAGATAATGAAGGAGTGCATCAGTCCATATTTTCTTGATTTAAGATCATGTAACTTTTGGTGAAGCTGGTATTTTCTTTACTTATGTCAGTATTATTAACCTGAGGGAGTATGTTGATGGTACAGGAGATGTAGCACATGTTGTTCTTCACAGACATACACCGGAGACACCATCACCAACACTCAGAAGACGGCAAATGCTGCAGCACGGACATACAGGATACACCGACACAAGGAGGGATTCACAGACGATTTCGATGGCTGTAGTAAAGATACAGGGGATGACTCCGTGGAGGACGATAGTAGACTACCTGTTCTGGCAGGACTGGATATTCCTGACCCTGTCTTTTTCTGCTCCATCGAACCTCCAACAATGGCTGCTCAGAGACAGCTGGATATGGCACTGGAATGCCTTCAGAAGGAGGACCCAAGTCTTAAGGTATGGGGTTACATGGAGTTTGGGAGGACAACAGTTGTATACATGACCTGTGTGTTGTATTTGTGACCTGTCTGTTGTATACATGACCTGTCTGTTGTATACATGACCTGTCTGTTGTATTTATGACCTGTCTGTTGTATACATGACCTGTGTGTTGTATACATGACCTGTCTGTTGTATACATGACTTGTGTGTTGTATTTGTGACCTGTCTGTTGTATACATGACCTGTGTGTTGTATTTGTGACATGTCTGTTGTATACATGACCTGTCTGTTGTATACATGACTTGTGTGTTGTATACGTGACCTGTCTGTTGTATACATGACCTGTGTGTTGTATTTGTGACCTGTCTGTTGTATACATGACCTGTGTGTTGTATACATGACCTGTCTGTTGTATACATGACTTGTCTGTTGTATGGGTGACCGTCTGTTGTATACATGACTCCTGTGTGTTGTTTCATGACCTGTCTGTTGTATACATGACCTGTCTGTTGTATATGTGACTTGTCTGTTGTATTTAGACATGACTGTTGTATACATGTGTGTTGTATTTGTGACCTGTCTGTTGTATACATGACCTGTGTGTTGTATACATGACCTGTCTGTTGTATACATGACTTGTGTGTTGTATTTGTGACCTGTCTGTTGTATACATGACCTGTGTGTTGTATTCATGACCTGTCTGTTGTATACATGACTTGTGTGTTGTATACATGACCTGTCTGTTGTATACATGACCTGTGTGTTGTATTCCTGACCTATGATGTACATGAGGCCTGTGTGCTGCAGGTTGAGTTTAACCAGGAGACGGGACAGACTATTCTGTTGGGGATGGGGGAACTTCATCTGGACATCATCCGGTCACGCATCATCAAAGAGTACCGCATTGAGGCAGAGGTTGGACCGCTCCAGGTAGCGTACAGGTCAGTGTCTTCCATCTAGATGTAGGCCATGTGTGCCATGTTGTACCGTCATCAGCGTTAAACAACACTGAATATATCCACTACAGTGGAATCAGTATTCGGAAGTATCTGTGGAAGTCCTTGTGTGTCCCAAGTGTGTCCTTGTAATAACCCTAAAGTGTTTAAGAGACTCGTACACAAGCTTTGATATAGCACCCACTCACCTTTTTGTGTACGATATATATGCTTTGAAAATGAAATTCTGCATAGAAAAATGGTAACTGTAGCATATTTACTCTGATTAAATCAATAAACAAAACTGAAAAGAAATTTGGTAACAGTTTTCTTGTAATCTGACAGAAATACAGTAAAACATGCCAATCAACAAGCTGGAAAGTATGGTCAGCATGACTCCTCCACCAATATGACTGTCTCGTGGTACTCAAATAATGATTGTCGTGATTCTATGAACTACCACTGGTGACCACGTCAGTAACTGATAGAGCCACCCCTTGCATGGGTAACCTCTCCTATTCTCCTCGTCATATTGGCAATTATGACATTTATACCCCAATGTGCTTGGCACCTTCACACCACGTGAACATACAACCCACAGCTTTTGAGATATTGTGTGAAGTACGTGTTTTCCATGTGCATTCCAGTATGCTAGCGCATGATTGACGGTTCAGACCAGTATTTTAAAAATTGCCCTTGGATTCAGATCGTGCTTAATTAGTGCATTGTGGTGTCGTGCTGGTTTCTGTACCACAGGAGAAACGTTATTGGTAGAGGCGGAGGTCGAGGACACCCTTGACAGAACTGTTGGAGACCGGCGCCACCAGGTGTCTATGAAATTGTCTGTGCATCCAGACAATGACATACAGGGCTTCAAGCATGTTGACCTGATGTCATTCAAGGAGCATCATTTTCAGCCAAAACGCCCACATTTGAAGGCAGTGGAGAGTGGCATCAGATCTTCCCTGCAGAATGGTAACGTGCTTGTTTGTTCTCTCTCAAGTTGATCAGTTATCTGTTAGTTCAGGCGATTTAGATGTAGAACAGGTTGGTATTATATCTGATTGGCATAGAAAAACTTTAGGTTTAAATTTAAAAAAAACTCAATTGTGTCTTTGCCAATTCAAAGAATCTAGAGCTAAAGATGAAGGGAATGATTAAATGATGTTCTCACTGCAATAAAATACAAGTAGCTTGAAATGACAGCCATGTAGATGGATGTAGTGCAGCAGTCTGTTCCAGCAGGTCCTGTACTCAACTGTCCTGTTATCCATGTCCGGGTTCAGCTGCACAGTCTCCAGGTCCGTCCTGGGACGTCCCTGGCGATGGTGTCCGCGTGTGCAGCACAGTGTATGAGCAAGGCCCTCCAGGGTGCAGATATGGCGCTGCTGGAACCCATGATGAAGTTGCAGGTGAGACAGATGTGGCACTGCTGGAAGCCATGATGAAGTTACAGGTGAGACAGATGTGGCACTGCTGGAAGCCATGATGAAGTTACAGGTGAGACAGATGTGGCACTGCTGGAAGCCATGATGAAGTTACAGGTGAGACAGATGTGGCGCTGCTGGAAGCCATGATGAAGTTACAGGTGAGACAGATATGGCGCTGCTGGAACCCATGATGAAGTTGCAGGTGAGACAGATGTGGCGCTGCTGGAAGCCATGATGAAGTGACAGGTGAGACAGGCTGGAAGACATGATGAAGTTACAGGTGAGACTGGCTGCTGGAACCCATGATGAAGTTACAGGTGAGACAGATGTGGGCTGCTGGAAGCCATGATGAAGTAGCAGGTGAGACAGATGTGGGCTGCTGGAAGCCATGATGAGAAGTGAGACAGGTGAGACAGACATGGGACTGCTGGAAGCCATGATGAAGTTACAGGTGAGACAGATGTGGGACTGTTGGAAGCCATGATGAAGTTACAGGTGAGACAGATGTGGGACTGCTGGAAGCCATGATGAAGTTACAGGTGAGACAGACATGGGACTGCTGGAAGCCATGATGAAGTTACAGGTGAGACAGACGTGGGACTGCTGGAAGCCATGATGAAGTTACAGGTGAGACAGATGTGGGACTGTTGGAAGCCATGATGAAGTTACAGGTGAGACATGGGACATGGAAGCCATCATGATGAAGTTACTGGAAGCCATGGGATGAAGTTATGATGAAGTGAGGACAGATGTGGGACTGTTGGAAGCCATGATGAAGTTACAGGTGAGACATACATGGGATTACTGGAAGCCATGATGAAGTTACAGGTGAGACAGATGTGGTGCTGCTGGAAGCCATGATGAAGTTACAGGTGAGACAGACATGGGACTGTTGGAAGCCATGATGAAGTTACAGGTGAGACAGATGGGGACTACTGGAAGCCATGATGAAGTTACAGGTGAGACATACATGGGACTGTTGGAAGCCATGATGAAGTTACAGGTGAGACAGATGGGGGACTACTGGAAGCCATGATCAAGTTACAGGTGAGACAGACGTTGGACTACTGGAAGCCATGATCAAGTTACAGGTGAGACATACATGGGACTACTGGAAGCCATGATGAAGTTTCAGTTACTAGATGTCTCTGAATGTGGTAGGTGTAGTTATTTCAACAGTAGGTGTGGAAATGTAGTAATCCAGTGCATTTACCCCTGCATTGTGACCTGTATCATGTACGTACAGCCAGTGGTGGCTCCAGTCAGACTTTGATTGTTGCAGATCTCCACTGATGAGAATCACCTTCATTCTGTGCTGTCTGACCTGGCACAGCGCAGGAGCCACATTGAGAGTGTCACCCCCCGAGATGATGTGAGGGTGGTGGGGACAATGACGCCACTAGCAGAGCTGATGGGGTACTCCACTGACATAAGGACCATCACCTCTGGTACAGCCACAGTTTCCATGGAGTTGGCTCACTATGAACAGATGTCATTGCAGCAACAGAACAAGGCCATAGAAAAGGTCCTAGGTTTCGTGCCAGATAGATGACATGGTCTGATGCGGAGATGTTTGTTAGGATGTGGTCAGTGATGCTGATATCAGTTGTCTGTGTGGATGTCAGTTACAAATGTTCTCAATGCTGACATTACGTGTCAAAAGATTGCAGACATAGTACAACAGTGCCTGGGGTTCTGCCCTGGTTCTAAGGTCTGCAGCAGGTGCCAGTCAAACATAGCTGCAGAGCTACAGATAACTTTTTGGGTCATTGAGTTATGTGACTCGCTTGTGTTCATCTCAATTGGGTATCCTAATTTTCCTTTGAGTAACCAAATACATTGTACTCACCTCACTCAAACTGAATTGGGTATTTTGTTTTTTTCCATTGATTTTAAATATATAATAAAGTTTAAATGTTAGTGTTTGTTATCTATATATGATCTGTAATATGAGAAACGATAAGAAAGACTGCAAGTTGTCAAGTTCATGTCCTGAAATAGAACCTCTCAGTATACCTCAGTTATTTATCTATCCACCGGTACGCAAGCTAAGATTTGACATTTTCATGTGTACGCATTTAAGATCACATTTATTGAGTATTTACCAAAATTCAAGCGTACATGTACGCAATAGACTTAATAGGAATTGAGTTTTCACATAAATATTTTCATAATTTACGCAGATACGCTGCTTATCTGTAGCTCTGTAGCGGTGTGATATTGCTAAGCCATCATGGTGTGGCTGGTCCATGTATAATCTGGATTGTAATAAACTGTGGTATGTATGCATATGGTTCCTCTATTTCTATTAACCTCTGCAAATTCACATGTTCTCCGTGTGATGGTATTACTGGAAATAATTGTCGAACTAAAAACAGCTTTGTTTGAGATTTTATTTTATAAAACATTATCACAGTTCGGTATGGCCCATTTGAAGATGATTTGGGATGAAGACAATGGGCTTCAAAACAAAGACATGTCCTAACTTTGAGAGAAACAGTTTAGACTTCAACTGTCTTCAAATCCTCTTCTTCCTGTGGACTGTGATCAAGCAACGTCTCTGCCACCGGTGGGTTGTGAGGAACAGGATCAGACTGACCCAACAAATCTAGTTCTTCCAAAGGGATCTGAACACGCAGCTCCTTCTCTGTCATGAGGTCAACCATCTCCTGCAGCTGACTCTGCCCAAATAGAGACACTCCGTCCTTGTACAGCACCTGCAATACATCAGTAGACAATGACCAACTGGGTATCTACTGATCTGGGTAGTACTTATGGTGCACAGTGATGTAGTGGTTAGCATGCTGGCCTCTCATGCCAAAGGCCCAGGTTTGAATCCCGGTGGAGACACCAAAATTTGTGACCTGGGTCTCATACTGTGTTGTGTCCCTGGGCAAGGCACTTCGTCCTTATTGCACTCAGTCCACCCAGCTGTTCAAAATGGGTACCTGAGAAACAGATGTATGGACCCATACGGTCGCGCAAAGCTCTTCGTAGCGGTTTTGAAAGTACAGTTCCGTCAGGGTAATAATGTAACGCCAGAGAGCAGCATCGTGATGGATTCTAGGCGTAAAAATTAGCATTATTATTATTATTATTACTTAAGGGACCTACTGCCCTGATGGTACTTGGGGATCTATTGACCCTGGTGTTACTTGGGGATCTGCTGACCTTGGTGTTACTAGGGGATCTGTTGACCCTGGTGTTACTAGGGGATCTGTTGACCCTGGTGTTACTAGGGGATCTGTTGACCCTGGTGTTACTAGGGGATCTGTTGACCCTGGTGTTACTAGGGGATCTGTTGACCCTGGTGTTACTTGGGGATCTGTTGACCCTGGTGTTACTAGGGGATCTGTTGACCCTGGTGTTACTAGGGGATCTGTTGACCCTGGTGTTACTAGGGGATCTGTTGACCCTGGTGTTACTAGGGGATCTGTTGACCCTGGTGTTACTAGGGGATCTGTTGACCCTGGTGTTACTAGGGGATCTGTTGACCCTGGTGTTACTAGGGGATCTGTTGACCCTGGTGTTACTTGGGGATCTGTTGACCCTGGTGTTACTAGGGGATCTGTTGACCCTGGTGTTACTTGGGGATCTGTTGACCCTGGTGTTACTAGGGGATCTGTTGACCCTGGTGTTACTTGGGGATCTGTTGACCCTGGTGTTACTAGGGGATCTGTTGACCCTGGTGTTACTAAGGGATCTACTGACCCTGGTGTTACTAGAGGATCTGTTGACCCTGGTGTTACTTGGGGATCTGTTGACCCTGGTGTTACTTGGGGATCTGTTGACCCTGGTGTTACTAGGGGATCTGTTGACCCTGGTGTTATTAGGGGATCTGTTGACCCTGGTGTTACTAGGGGATCTACTGACCCTGGTGGTTCTTACGGACCTATTGTAACTGGTGGTTCTTGGGGACCATCGACCATGAATAGCTCATTGTGTACATACCCGGTACTAGGGATGTCACGATATATAAGTTTCATGTATCGATACATATCATGATACCTATTTTGCGGCATTATTGCATAAATTTAGTTACATTTTCAACATTAATATTACATATTTATAATTGTCCATGAAAAGATCAACATTTATGATTCTCGGAGATTAAAAAGTTCTATTTTCCCATCTTTGTGCATGAAAACTCTCATAACATCAAAAAACATGATACAATTGCAAAATGTAAACGATACATAAACATATTTAAACCGATACTTTCAAAACTAAATATCAATACAGTTTTGGATGTATCGATAACTGTATCGTCTTAGAAAAAGTATTGATGCATCAATGTATCGATGTATCGTGGCATCCCTACCTGGTACCTTGGACCCTGAGTGGCTCATAGTCGACATACATTGGACCATAAGTGGCTGAAAGAGTACATACCTTGGACCAGGGACATTGCTGTAGGGCCTGGTATAATATCCCTCTGGCACGCTCTCTGTCTCCATACTTGCTCTGAATATAGAAAGCCATAGAGTGTAAATGTTGTTGTAGGATGATGGAAGAAAATCTCATGGGCTGTGTAAGCAATGACCCCATGATTACTCCATAAGGAACGCTGAGGAGATATATGTGAAGTAACTATAATAGAGGTTATTCCAAATGTTCACTTTCTTCGTGGTTGCACTATAAGAAGTCACAGACGAACTGTAAAGGGGGGTTCTGTGTAAAGTACAGAGCAAATACTGCACATGACCTTCTAACTGTTGACACATCTGCACAATAACACCCATTTTAAAATTTAAACTGGATATCAGCATGTGGATTTTTGAGATAGCTTAAATGATAGGCTTTCTGCCATAAACAAACAGTAATGGTTGATGCTGTCCCCCGAGGTCATGCAGTTTGCTCTCTATGTTTGTGGGTGACAAGTTTCACATGGAGACACAAAAGAACATGGCGTGGCTACACTTTCCCAACAATCTGAATGTGGGGCTTGTGGGACCTAAGTTTGCCATAGGCAGCACAGTGTTTTGTGCCTGACAGGGAGGCAGAGATGAATTTCGATCCTTTGGGTTTGCCTGTTATAGAATAGAGAAATAAACAGCTAAATCTTAGAAGAAAATAGAATATTTTTAAGAGAAGTAAACACATGTTGACATTGTTTAGGTTTTCTGCTATGCACCTGCTAAGGGAGGTAACTCCTACAGATTGTGTAAGGTGGCCCACAATTTAAGAGACAACAATCCTTGGAATTATATTCAAGTGAACCTGTGGATTCAGAAACAAATTTCAGGAAATAAAGCAGTCAAGGGTTAGAAGGACGTATTCATAATAATTGGAATTCTTTGTACCCATTGATACATGTACATTATTAAACTAGTCTCGCACCTCTACATGGCAGTACAACCTCCACACCAGGGGCAGTGTTGTGAGGCTGAGCTCCGTGTCCCGCGCTCTAACAAACTCCGCACTCTGTGCATCACACCACTGTTACAGACTGAAACATCAACACATGCTTCATAGCAATATCAGAAGGAATGAGTGATTTACACTAATGAACAATATCTATTATAGCAAACCTAGTTTACTAACTACAGAGGATAATAGCGTGAGCACTGATCCCTCCTACAAGCTACCTGCTCATGACCCAAGCCAGTCACATCTACATTGCCCCAAGCATGTAGTACTACTATGTCCTGGAATTCATCTTGGGCTTTGTTTAAACAGATATGTAGAATTTTAGAGAACATTAAAATGCTAGTAATAAAGATTCCATGATAGTCTGTGAGAATACCTGTATATGATTCCTCATGAAGAGAGGTAAGCCTTCCAACTTCAACCAGCACACTGTGAATGAGGGGTAGAGGAGACGATGGATTGACTAAAGCTCTGTCCATGTAGCGCCGAACGCGCCCGACGATGTGGGACCTGGCCTCGAGGTCCACCAGACACTGCAGGAAGGCTGAGTTGTCGGGGAACTCGTCCAGGGCTCTGTCCATGACAACACGCAGCTGGCTGAGAGGCACTGCACTGATTGACATTTGATGGCGGAGAAGTATCCACTGTGACCTGAAGATATTCTCCCTGACTGCAAGGAGGGCGTGGCACCGAGCTGAAGACTTGCCAGCATCCAGCAACAACAGGACATCTTGGTAGTTGGACATGGCGGCCTCAAGACCACTTGAACACAGGTCAAACATGGCTAGACAGTTCAGCTCACTCAGAAGCTGATGGAAAACTTGGGTGTCACCTTCACCTTGAGGTGACCTTGCTTCACAGATTGTCCTGGCAAGTTGAGTGACCTGAGTCTTTATCTTACGCTGTGTCTTCAATATAGAGCTTGTAGTCATAGTCGGTTCCTTCTCAAGTTTGAACTTTGTGCCTTCAGCTAAAGAAGTGAGGCAAAACAAGAGCCTTGTCTTGTGTTGTTGAGACACATCCATCTGCTTTTGAGTGAGGTCTGCATGGAAGTGCTGTGTGATGTTGAGGAGGAGTTGGCAGTAGGTCTGATACAGGAGACACAGGCCAGACTTGTCCTCACTACTGCCCCCCACTGAACATAGCTAGTGCTGTCTCCACCACCCCTAAAGCCTCTTGGCTCTTCCCAAGATCATGTTCCAGACACGCGTATGCATTCCATACAGTCAGGTTATTACGGTTATGACCTTCCTTCAGCAGATTTTTCACAAACTTTCTGAGCTCCTTTGATTTGTGCTTAGGTAAATTTCTAGGTGAATCAACTCCATGTTTCCTCCATTCAGTCTGGATGAGCAGCAAGGTGAAGACTGTCTGACTCTGTCCCTGGAACATGTGCACGGCCTGGGAGAGGACCTGGTGAATATATCTCTGTAACGTCTCACTCTGGTTGGCAACTCCATCCAGGTCGGGACTCTTTGCAGCTGGTAACCCTGGTAACTGGCACATCTTGTGGAGGGACAGCTGCATGGAAGAAACTGAGATCTCCTCTTGTTCTTGCAGACACAGCTGAGACAGAACATCCCGCGTGGCCACACCCAGTTGGTCTAGCAAACACATGACAAGACGGAACTGAGCATTTGGTTTTGATACTTGGAACAGGACTGGTGTGATGTCGTCCACCAGAACCAGTCGCTCCAGATCCTCACAGTCTTCCTCTGTTTCGTTCTTTAAAATATCTGGTCGCCATGGCAGCCAATGAGTGTTTTCTCGTATTGTCTCGATTTCTAACCATGTTTGCCACTGAGGCATCTGTTTTGCTATGACATCATCCTCAGCTTCTTCTGTTGGATCTGAAAGTAAAACACAGTGATCTATATTGGTATGATTTAATTGTCACTTCAAAATAGATATTTTTTAGAGTATGTAACCATAGGCTGCTTGTCACGCTCTCCGAAGTCAAATAGTGGAGAGTGGGGACGGTTGGAAAGGCCCTTTAGACTATGAGTCAGGATAAGGATAAGTATCAATTTTATCCAAAAAATACATATTTTTCCTTATCCTGACTCATGCGTTATTGCTTGAATCCGACGGAATTATCATGGAATAATAATAATTAATAATTAATTTTCGTATGAATTATTATTCCATGATAACTATAATTCATACGAAAATTCATTATTAATTATAACCACTACAAGCGATATATTAGGATTCAGATATTATGAAAATATCAATATAGAATATTAGTTTCATGATGTATCAGTAATAGCTTAGAGAAAGACTCTAGTCAAAAGTAGTAAAACTCATCTCACAGACATACTATTGAAAAAGTTATAAGTTACGACTGCACAATTTCACAGATGTTCAAGATAAATCCTAGCGTAAGGTATCAAGGACTCAACTGTTAGACAAACCTTTCAGTAAGACAAAAGTTATGTCTAGACAGTTTAATAAACTGTTAATAGGCCCGTAAAGATTTGATTCAACTTAGCCTACAGCATGTTTCCACACATGGTTGTAGAAGAAGAAGAGAGCTGCATACCGTGAGATAGGATAAATTTAAAAATTTAATGTATACAGAAATGTCTGGGAAAAAATTATGCAAGCCAAAATCAAAATTATTTCAACTAACTATTTTGACCCAATTTCTTCTCTGGAAACGCGCATTCTGATAGGCTGGGGGAATATTTCTCCTGGACGAGAGGGGTACGAGTCGTCTTTCAGATTATGGAAAGGGACATGACAAACAGATGACACCACTCATCGACATACCTGCTGTCACAACCTGTGTCTCTCCTGACATCTTGTCTTTGCTCCTCCAGGCTGCCCAGCCTGCTGCCCCTGACTCCCCAAACCTGGGAACGCTGCTGTCCCAGAAACTCTCAAACACAGCTGCTCTGTCTGCAGTCAAGGTGTCAGTGAAGCTTGGGGGACAGAAGACATTGAACTCAATGAGGGCCTGGTACGAGGCTACAGCTCGCTTCGGTGTAACCCACTTGGTGCAGGAACATACAATACTGGACAAACACACCTGGAACACAAGTAATGTACAAGTTGCAGCTGTCATTATGGAAAGGTTCAGCAACTGCCATCAAGTTGTTGTCCTGCCTCTCATGTCAGCTCACATTATCTGTACATATGCTGATCAATCAACACTTAAACAAGCTATGATTTCTCCATATAAACCAGAAGGGTGCTTCTCACTATATACTGGACATGGCTTCTTTTCCCGGAATAAAGCGCATTTAAGGTTTTTGTTTGCTCCCTGGTTTTAATTTTTGTAAGTAAGACCTCTACCCAGGTTTTACTTTTTCCTAACTCTATATTATCATCAACATTGAATTTCAGATGATATGTGAGTGTTTGAAATCAACTGAAAAATATTGTCAAAGATCAACTTTAATGTGCAAATGTTTTTCCTAGCAGGAATGGAACCGCATCTCTCTGGTTATTAAGTGGACGCTCTACCTCACGGCCACTGGGCCGACAAGAAGCCAGGGTTAAATTATCTATTTAAAGTTAGGCCTACTGTCATTAAATTGATTTTACTAGAGCTTCAGTTACTGTTATGTAGCTTCATTACATGATCATCTAATTATCCATCATTGACGGTTTATATGTATAATAAAGTACTCCTCCGAGGTTATGGTTGGGAAAGTAAGCCCTCGACCATTGGGTGGAGAGAAGTAAGACTAAGAAGCAATGACAGTAGGCCTAACTTTAAGTAGATAACTCCCCAACCTCTGGTCACGGGTCTTACGTTCCCAACCATAACCTCGGAGTCGTGCTTTATCCTACACATAAAACATTAATATGCAAATAAAAGTTCAGTTCTAATGGACCGTTCATATTTTATGGCTAGGGGGTTTGATGATGGTATTTATGGAGAAGCATGTACAATGTGAATGCACCCCCCACAAAAATGTATGTACAAAGTAAGAAGTGACCCCTTCCGTCATATACAAATATCGATAAAGAACCCCACCCCCATTCCCATGATTTTTAAGCATAATTGTTTCATACTGCTAAGTACAAAATTGCTGACCCTCCCCCCAGCACATCATACTACATGTGCACAAAATTGATGACCCCACTACCTCCCCAGAACAAAATGGGTGCTTCCCCCACCCCCCCCTAAAAAATAAAATCACCTCCACCCCAACCATCCCCTAGCCATAAATTATGGCATATATCATATACAGCACTTGACTTTTCTATTCTTTGAAACAATCTGAATGTTCAATTTCCTAATGAAATTGTTATCAGCCTTAAGCAGGTTCCTGCTCACCCATGAGGTCCGAGTTGGGAACATCTGTTGGCCTGGCTGTCTTCATGTTCCCCTCCACAACAGCGATGAGCACACGGAAACACTTGTGGTACAGCTTGATGAGCTTGGAGACGGAGAAGGAGGCGAGTCTGGACTGCTGAAACATGAGATAGCTGTGCCACAGCTTGGTGTTGGCGGAGTGGACAAACAACAGCTGGTCCCACTCCTGGGTCAGCTGTTCCCCATCCCACACATCCTTACACACCTCCAGCTGGGCCAGCTTCAGATCCAGACACCCCGGGTTGTCCAACAGTGCCCTGCTCAGGATCGACAGCTTCTTGTCAATCACTGCCTTGGACAGCCCACCCCCACGCCACGAATCTCCAACCCCACTGAACACTTTGTCCTGGAACTTCACAAACTCCAGCCAGAGTTTAACATTTCGTGTATCTTCCCTGAGCCTTTTGTTGTATGTTGCAACCTGCTGGAGAATCTCATCATTAGGCTGCATCTCCTCTTGGACATCACCTTCCGCTGTGCCCCGTCCTTGGATATATTGTCTGGTGGCCTCATCCAACACCCAGAGGGGGTCAGCAGCAGTGTCTGTCACCCCTACAAGGGGAATGTACTGAACTTGAGCACCTTCCCCATCCACACGCCTCACTTTGACTCCCACCTTCCTCAGCAGTGCTCTGCTTCTCTTCTGGCAATACCTCACTGGCTCAGCTTTCTTACTTGAGTTCTTCTCATGTTTGAAGAGATCCAGGTTCCCCTGTACCCCAAGTAGAGTGTCCAAGTCTCCTGTAGCCCGCGATGTGACCCTTGTAGAGGCACTCATATGTCCACAGGTCCTTGTCACGGTGGCGGTCTATCCTGAAAGCATCCTCAGGCTCCAGGCCAGCCATCTCCTCAATGAACACCTTCTTGGTACTGACTGTCACCGTCTCTGGCAACTGGGATCTGTATTAAAACATCGCCCTAATCAACACAAATAGAGGCTCAGTCTTGCAGCTTCAGGTTACAATAAAAACACATGTCATGGAAGCCATCTAGCATACATTCAGCTATCACTGACTATTATGTGAAAAGATGCTAAAACATTCTACTTACTGTACCCTTGAAGAAACCATTGGTTCTTTTTTCTTGACTTTCGTTTTCTTATGCTTGTGTTTATGTTTGGCCTTTTTCCTGCTCTGGCATGCAAGACCCTCATCAACTGGTTCGGCAGTTCCTGAGGGGAACATGGCTACAAGTATGGTCAAACTGTTTGGCTGTTATACTTTTCCATGTCAAGCAAGATCAAGTCAGGGTCAACTATCAATATAACCAATATTGTGTAGAAAGTGGTCAAATGTAGTGTATGCTATATTTGGGATTACACTTTCAGTAAAGTACAGATTCTTGTTGGGTTGAGTCCCATCCGGGATATGAACCCACACCCTCAGAGTCAGGCACCTAATCGCCAGCACACAAAGTCAGACACCTAACCCACTCATCCACAATGGCTTCCAGTCTGATAACTAGCAAGAGGTCCTAACACTTACACAATGGTCTTGTTACCATGGTTACAACAGTGAGATTGAGATCTATTACACTGCAGTCCCCAGTCAGATGTTCATTAACAATAGTTATAACTGAAGAAGGCAGTTAGACATGTTCTACTGTGCAATACCCACGCAGAAGATTAATAACCATGGTGATAACACCAAGGACGTATTCTACTGTGCAATACCCTCGCAGAAAATTATTAACCATGGTGATAACACCAAGGACATATTCTACTGTGCAATACCCTCGCAGAAGATTAATAACCATGGTGATAACACCAAGGACATATTCTACTGTGCAATACCCTCGCAGAAAATTAATAACCATGGTGATAACACCAAGGATGTATTGTACCCTGCAAATACTACACACATCTTTAGATTCAGTTACTGTGTTTACAACATACAATATCTATTCAACCCTGCAAATATATTCAGTTACTATGGATACAATGGCACAACATACTGAGATGCGTTCTTCACTGCAACCACATGCAGATATTTAGTTACCATGGTTACAGAAGTGTTATGATGACACTGACCTTGGGCCTCATCATTGCCATCTCCTTCACTTGGCTCCCTCCGTGCCAGGGTGCATCTGAAACAAATGATCCAACCTCTCTACACATAGACACAAACCTACCAGCGATTAAAAAAATGAAACAATTCCCAACTATATCAAAACAATCTATCACATGAACCATGGTAACTTGCCTTGTGACAGCACTTAATGACCAACAGACAGGAGTATTAACAGGAATGGTTATACACTGAGGAGTTTGGACAATCAACAGACAGGAGTATTAACAGGAACAGCAGGAGAATTTAACAGAAACAGGTGTTTGCTGTTCAAGTCATCTGAGGTCTTTTATTTTTGTTCCAATCTCACAAAAGGACCTAAATGTACAGATTTTAGCTACGGCTTACCTGTTTTCCGACTTGGCACTGTCATGGTAGTCTGCGATGGCTTCTTGGAGCTCCACTACTGATGCTACAGCTGCATCCCCGTAACTTGGGTTGTGGAGCCAGTCCAGGTGCCCCTCTGTCAACACCACTTGGTCAGTGAATGTAATACTATAAGGGTAACGCTATTTTTCAGGGCATTATCATTTGCAGAAGCCTGAGGTCTTTCATTAGCTGGCCGACAAAGGAGTGCAGTTGAAAAGACATCGGAACATCAAGAGCTCCTTATGACGTCACCTAACAACGGGCATGATAATGGCCTGTTGTCAAGCAATTTGGGAGCATTATCAAGTTACTGTGGCCCACTCATGCGGGCATTTTAATGATAATTCTATCTATTTTAGCTATAAAATATGCCAGTAACTGTTTTAAAATGTTTGTCTGACCAAAATTCACAACAAAATGTAATACTAGTTTGTGAACAATCCCTGCAAGTTCCACATCATTTTTCAATATTCTTCATAATTTGTACCTTTTTGTCATGTCTACTAACAAAGTCATAAGAATAGGAAACAAATTTCACTATTGGTTTACAAAGGTTTGTAGATATATTCTCAATGAAACCTGTTTTACATAGAAAACAAGATACACAACTCTGCTCCATCTTGTTGTAGGTCACAGGAAGTCCATGGAGAGCTTGCATCTTGCCCTGGTTGACATGTGACACACAATGAAGTCATTATCGTATCTGGTAATCTGTGTAGTTGGTAGGGCGGGAGTACATGGTGTGAGATAGAATCAACATTATAAATGTTCAATTTTAAAACTTATCCTTTCTCATGTTATGCTCTTATCCCAAAGTTGAAAGGTAGGCAGCAGATTAACCCAGTACCAGTAGTTGGTGAGTGAGTGAATTTAGTTTTACGCCGCTTTTAGCAATATTCAAGCAATATCAAGGCAGGGGACACCAGAAATGGGCTTCACACATTGTACTCATGTGGGGAATCGAACCCGGGTCTTCAGTGTGACGAGCGAACGCTTTAACCATTAGGCTACCCCACCAACCCAAGTCTGTAGGTAGACATCATTCGAGATGAGAGTGAGATGACTTGTTCAAGAAGAGGCTGACCTAGTATTCTGATAAAAGACCAGATCTAGCCTTGAACTTGTGATGGGTTCATTCTGAAACCTTAGTGATACTTTACTTGAACTTCCAGGGATTGGATGAGCCTGAGTAACATGATTTCTTGATGCATCATTGTCAAAGGACAATGACCAAGCTAAGAGATAGGAAACATGCTCAGACCCGAATTTCTAAAAGGCCCTAGAATCCAAAGACCTTTCAGTCCTCAGTCCCAGACAGCGTGTTCTTCAAAATGCCCTTGCAGACCACATAATCTTTCCAGGTTAGCACTCTGAACCTTTCCCATCAAAGACAACTTCTCTCTTTGTTTATCCTCCCTTATATCTTTCTTGTGGCCAACGATAGTTGAGGAACACGTGAGTGTTACAAAGGGGTTTCTTGAATTCATTACTCATACTAATGTGATTGCTTGTGAGAGTAGAGGTGAGTGATAGCAGACAATGGAGGGATCAATGAAGTAGGCAGGAGCCATTGCTGTAGGACTGATGAGGTGACGAGTGGAATCACTGGAGGGAGACACAATGACACTGAAACCACAATAGTCGAAGGACGGATGGACAATATCATGGTAAGTATTGTCGAAGTAAAGAGTGGATACATCAGAATCCTGGCTTTTAAAGAGAAATTCCACTTGGGATCATCAATCCACTTTAAATACAACTGCACAAAAATGTAGTTCAAAGAAGAAAAAGAAATTCTATATTGACTTTGGCAACTTTAGAAAAGCATCCAGCTCTGTGTATTATATTAAACTTTGGAATCATTTGTACATATTTGGTTTTAAGTTAAAAGCTCTTGATGTCATCTATTCCTCAGTAAATTAAAATGTATGATGTGCATGCTGCAGTTGCGATGAATGTAGTTGTAATATTTTCACTGTTTGCTATGCATGGGTTCTGATGTATTCCGTTGTCAATCATGAGTGAAGGAAGACCGCAAAGGACAGACATGTTAATCAGTCTACCATTATCCTCTATTATTGTTGTTAATCCGAGATACTAGTATGCATACCCTTTTGTTTTTTCTTATTAGATGTATATGAGTCTCTAGTAGTACTACTATGCTGTCTTACTTCATTTTCGCTTGACAACAGTATGAGGATCTATAACAAACATTGTATCACAACAGAATAAAGATGTTGTCATCAATAAAATGTCTTGCCTTTACAATGAGAAAAGGAGACAAGGGAAGTGAACAACACAGTCTACATACAATGGTAACTCATCATAAATCTTGATACCATACTTCAAGTGGGATAGTTCAGCTATGCCGGATTAGTTCCTTGTATTTAACATTGTTTTATATTCTTTTTCCTTCCACTCAGAAAAAGTGTCTCTGCCTGTAACCAAATTTTGCATACATCTCCATATAATAACAGCCAAACAGTACCAATGGCAAACGGTGGACTCTCCCCAAGGTTCCCTTTTCAAAAGGTTTCATTTTACCCGAAATATGTGTATGAGAGTCAACTGGCATAAGCTTGCCAATTACCAAAGAGGCAGAAGTGTTCTGATATATCCCGCTCTCAAGTTAGCCTTAGTTGGGTTGAACAGGTTGTTGTCACAACAGGTACTACAGATATAATGAAACTTACCCTAGCCAAAATCTGAATACAGCACTGTACCCTAGGACAGGTTCATTCTGCATGGTGTTGTTTTTTTTTATCGGAACTGTCATACTGTTGTATTGGGTGCATTTGATTGGGCTAGAATGCACTTTACCGGGGCAGCCCTCGCTGCTCGCTGCAGGGCAATTATTGCGTTATAGCGCTATCGCACTGACTCCAGCGCTGTCTCGCTATATCACGGTAATTGCTCCGTCTCCCTTCACTTGCCAGTCAACCATCCTTAGGGTTCCGATCTTTAGGGCTCTGACGCATCTTTAGTAGAGTCAAACAACCATTTATGATCCTTAGGGTTAGGGCATGGCACCCTCTACGATCCTTAAGGTTAGGGTTTAGGGTTAGGCGCTGATTAATCTCAAAATGTGCGCCCGGTAAAGTGCAGTACTCCCTCTGATTGCATTTTATAAGAAACGAGGATATACACAATAATGAATATTTCACGATGCACCAGACCACTCGCAATCAGTTGAACGGTGACAACTCGATCCATATACGGTTTGGGGTTGCAAAATATTTACTCGTCCCTTGTTTAAAGTACCAGGTACGTTTCTGTAGTTTGACTTTGTTTAGGGTACGTATCTGTGATACCTGTGCCGACAACTACTTCAGCCTGAGCTGTACAACGATCACGGATAAGCAAATGTTGTCTTGGAGTCATGGTAGTGAGAATTCGTCCAACACTGAGAACTAACTTTGTATGTGCTTGGTAGTTCATCAAAACAATTTGAATGCGACGATAACATAGTTTCTAATCAAGACATCAATTTGTTGATTTGATTGGCGATCGAAAATTGGACAATCTGATACATAAAATTAAATTCCCCACCTCCTGTGTCTTCATTGTGAGAGGCGGCAGGACTACTGCCCACGGGGAAAATTGTAGGTGTTTCAAAATTCTTTACAGTTGTACTCGACAGCGGGAACAGAGTCTGAGATGGGGAGCTTGTCTTTAAGTCATCGTGAAATATGTTCTCCGCGTCCATAATCAAAGGGAGTTAATTCTAACAACAATACCGCTAAAAACGAACGGAATTCGAACACTCGGACGTACAAAGAATATAAAACTTGAGGGGAGGAGGCCAACACCTTTACCTGAAATTCAAAGACAATAAATTGTTCTGCTGTATCATTAAATAATTTAAAAAGACCGAAATGAGGAGATCAGGGATTGGTGTAGCAAATCTAATATACTTACGTTTAAACCATTTAGGCACCGTGCAGTCGAATATGCCCAAGCTACAAAATGCCCCAGCAAATTTGGTCAAATTGCCCCCGATGTTTGGTCCCCGGCAAATGTTTAAATATATGCCATAAATGCATAGTTTTGTCAACTTAAATCATATTCTTCATATAAAAGTTATTAGGAAGTAAAATATATTTCTGACAAAAGTACCTATTTCAACGTGAAATACATCAAGTCACATTTATAAGTCTTTTTTTTATTTTAAATTTCCTACTGCGTGGCGGGATGGCGGCAATTCCACTGGTACCCCTTAGGGGCCGTTAATAATTTATGGTTGTGGGGCGTGAGGATGGATGTACACAAGTACTAGGTGTCAATGATTTTGTACATCGCAAGAGGTGGAGGTTGTTGTTTTTCCATTTCCGACAGTACTTTAATAGGACTTTCATTTCAACGTTGTTTCTTTAAAAAATACCTGCAATATATATTACACTTTTAATAGCTCCAAATATATCACAAAACGGATTCCTGTATTGAAATATATTGCAATGCACATCCCTGCATGATATCAGTGAGTTAATTACGACAAAACAAATATTGTCATTTTCAGAAGGGGTAGGTCGTTACCCGTAACTGAAAAGTGGGATACATCTTAAGATTAATAGTCATTATAAATACCTTGGTCTCTTTGATTCGCAAATACAACCAAAAATGTTATATGGATCTGATATTTGGGGTTACTAAAGATATGAGAGTTTACAAAAGCTTCACCTCTTAGCATGTAAAAGTTATTTATCCGTTGGATTATCTACACCCATTATGTATAAATTCTCAAATTAGATGCTTGAAATACTGAATAAAACGTATTGGTATGCATGAAAACAGAATTCCAAAGCAGCTTTAAGCTGACTTATAATATGCTTTTACATTTAGACAACATCGGTAAAATCACATGGGCGTCCCATGTAACAATATTTTGTTCTCTCATGGTTTTGGTTTTATTTGGATAAACAAAACCATTGGAAATGTCAGTCTCTTTTTATATAAGTTTAAATACCAAACTGTTGATATGTTCTATCAGAATTGGCATTCTACCCTTCATGATAGCTCAAGGTATGATTCCTACAGGACATTTAAAAACATATTTGTCTATGTTATATTCTAAAGATTTAAGAAATACTTTTGTCAAAATTAATTTAGACTTGTTTTGTTAGATTGAATTATAAACGAAGGCAGGAAAATATCTATAGAAAAGAACAGGAGAATTTGTCCGTTAAATTTGCCTTAAATACAATACACTGTTTTGACTTTGACTTGAGTTCTATATATAGCCTTGCGCGGACGGTTACTGCAAGCTAACAGCAATATTACTTTGTTTCTAAGGACCATGTAACTAACACGTATATACTCTGCAAGTCTGCCAGTATAATGTGTCAATTACCTAGTCCTGGGCACAAGTCTATCACAGTCTCACAGATCTACTCTCTTCTACAGATCTACCCTAATCTAACAGATCTACGGTAGTCTCACATATCTACTGTCGTCTCACTGACCTACTCTACTCTCACAGACCTACTCTACGCTCAAAGATCTACCCTAGTTTCGACAGACCTACTCTACTCTCACAGATCGATCTACCCTAGTCTCACAGACCTAGTCTACACTCACAGAATCTACCCTAGATACTATCTCTCAGATAACTAGATAATTCTCGTCTCACAGATCTACTCTCGTCCTACAGATCTACCCTAGTCTTACAGATCTACTGTACCCTCACAGATCTATCCAAGTCTCACAGATCGATCTACCCAAGTCTCACAGATCGATCTACCCAAGTCTCACAGATCGATCTACCCAAGTCTCACAGATCGATCTACCCTAGTGTCACAGATCTACCCAAGTCTCACAGATCGATCTACCCAAGTCTTACAGATCGATCTACCCAAGTCTCATAGATCGATCTACCTAAGTCTCACAGATCGATCTATACCCTAGTCTCACAGATCGATCTACCCAAGTCTCAAAGATCGATCTACCCTAGGCTCACAGATCTACCCTCACACTACTCTACTCTCACAGATCGATCTACCCTAGTCTCACAGACCTACTCTACACTCACAGATCTACCCAAGTCTCACAGATAACTAGATAATTCTCGTCTCACAGGTCTACTCTCGTCCTACAGATCTACCCTAGTCTCACAGATCTACTGTACCCTCACAGATCTACCCAAGTCTCACAGATAACTAGATAATTCTCGTCTCACAGGTCTACTCTCGTCCTACAGATCTACCCTAGTCTCACAGATCTACTGTACCCTCACAGATCTACCCAAGTCTCACAGATAACTAGATAATTCTCGTCTCACAGGTCTACTCTCGTCCTACAGATCTACCCTAGTCTCACAGATCTACTGTACCCTCACAGATCTACCCAAGTCTCACAGATAACTAGATAATTTCTCGTCTCACAGGTCTACTCTCGTCCCACAGATCTACCCTAGTCTCACAGATAACAGATCTTCTGTACCCTCACAGATCTACCCAAGTCTCACAGATAACTAGATAATTCTCGTCTCACAGGTCTACTCTCGTCCTACAGATCTACCCTAGTCTCACAGATCTACTGTACCCTCACAGATCTACCCAAGTCTCACAGATAACTAGATAATTCTCGTCTCACAGGTCTACTCTCGTCCTACAGATCTACCCTAGTCTCACAGATCTACTGTACCCTCACAGATCTACCCAAGTCTCACAGATAACTAGATAATTCTCGTCTCACATGTCTACTCTCGTCCTACAGATCTACCCTAGTCTTACAGATCTACTGTTACCCTCACAGATCTACCCAAGTCTCACAGATAACTAGATAATTCTCGTCTCACAGGTCTACTCTCGTCCTACAGATCTACCCTAGTCTCACAGATCGATCTACCCAAGTCTTACAGATCGATCTACCCTAGTCTCACAGATCGATCTACCCAAGTCTCACAGATCGATCTACCCAAGTCTCACATCGATCTACCCTAGTCTCACAGATCTAGATAAGTCTCGTCTCAGATCTACGACAGATATAATAGTCTCACAGATCTACCCAAGTCTCACAGATCCATCTACACTAGTCTCATAGATCGATCTACCCAGTCTCACAGATCTACCCAAGTCTCACAGATCGATCTACCCTAGTCTCACAGATCGATCTACCCTAGTCTCACAGATCTACCCAAGTCTCACATATTCATCTACCCTAGTGTCACTGATCGATCTACCCAAGTCTCACAGGTCGATCTACCCAGTCTCACAGATCTACCCAAGTCTCACAGATTGATCTACCCAAGTCTCACAGATCCTACTTAGTCTCACGTATCTACTACCAGATCTACTGTACTCCCACAGATCTACTGTACTCTCACATATCTACTCTTGTCTCACAGATCTACTCTACTCTTACAGATCTACTGTATATACATATCTACTGTACTCTTACAGATCTACTCTTCTCTCACAGATCTACTGTACTCTCACAGATCTACTCTTGTCTCACAGATCTACTGTACTCTCACAGATCTACTCTACTCTCACATATCTACTGTACTCTGACAGATATCACAGATCTACTCTACTCTCACACATCTACTATACTCTCACAGATCTACTGTACTCTGACAGATCTACTCTACTCTCACAGATCTACTGTACTCTCACATATCTACTGTACTCTCACAGATCTACTCTACTCTCACAGATCTACTGTACCTCTCACAGATCTACTGTACTCTCACAGATCTACTCTTGTCTCACAGATATACTCTCCTCTCACAGATCTACTGTACTCTCACAGATCTACTCTACTCTCACATATCTACTGTACTCTCACAGATCTACTCTACTCTCACATATCTACTGTACTCTCACAGATCTACTGTACTCTCACAGATCTACTCTACTCTCACAGATCTACTGTTCTCTCACAGATCTACTCTACTCTCACAGATCTACTCTACTCTCACATATCTACTGTACTCTCACAGATCTACTGTACTCTCACAGATCTACTGTACTCTCACATATCTACTGTACTCTGACAGATCTACTCTACTCTCACAGATCTACTGTACTCTCACATATCTACTGTACTCTCACAGATCTACTGTACTCTCACACATCTACTGTACTCTCACAGATCTACTCTTGGCTCATAGATCTACTGTACTCTCACACATCTACTGTACACTCACAGATCTACTGTACTCTCACAGATCTACTGTACTCTCACAGATCTACTCTACTCTCACATATATCTACTGTACTCTCACAGATCTACTCTACTCTCACAGATCTACTGTACTCTCATAGATTTACTGTACTCTCACATATCTACTGTGCTCTCACAGATCTACTGTACTCTCACAGATCTACTGTACTCTCACAGATCTACTCTACTCTCACATATCTACTGTTCTCTGACAGATCTACTGTACCCTCACATATCTACTGTACTCTCACAGATCTACTGTACTCTCACAGATCTACTCTACTCTCACATATCTACTGTACTCTCACAGATCTACTGTACTCCCACAGATCTACTCTACTCTCACATATCTACCGTTATCTCAAAATTTTCTCAAGACAGTTTCGTACTTTTGTGCAGAGACCATAATAGATTATTATATCTATGTGATCTCTGCTGTACGCTTATATAAATATAAATCCTGAGGTCATGTTTTATTAGTTCAGATTTCGTTTCCCTGTTAACAATTGTGTACACTGGTTTTATTTTCTTTCTCTATAACTCGCGTGTATGCCGCTCCTCATCGTATGTGAACAAATGACTAATGACGCGACTCACTAGAATCAAGTGGAGACAACTCGCAGCGTCCACGTCACTCTCACGGAGTGGAGAATGTTTAAAGATGGCGGGTATTGTGTTCGCGCTCGCAGCATGGCAAGCAGTGTTACTTTGTCTGTTGTTTGCAGTAATGTACGTCGGCAGTCTATATGTTTGGACAGCCACGGTGACCAAAGACCGGTATGCTTTTTTAGATATTTCAACACTTTGATGTAAAGAAATCACAAAGTTGTAATTTTGGCGATATGTCAAACAACAGTTTGGTGGGTAGGTGTCGTATAACCTGAATAAGTTCATAACGCTCAGCACAAAGGATGTGTTATTTTCAGATTGCAGGGGAGACAATCGAAGATGACCAAATGAATCCAGACGGACTCCTCTGTATGCCCGAAAATTGGTCGTAGGCGAAATTAGTCGTTCAACGTCTTGACTTAATAAAATTTGAAAAGAAACATTTGTTTAAGAGAGTTGACTGTTAAATTTTCATGAAGTGTCAGAAAGCGAGAAAAGCTAGAAGCTCACCACTTCCTTGTTGAAAAAGACTAAAAGAGAGAGTCTTTAATGGACTGCAATGTCTCAGTTAAAGGGTTAAATGGACACAGATCTATGACAAGTCCACGAGACTGGTTGTTGCCTTTTTATTGGTTTCTACCATGCATACTTGGATGATATCACAAACTCGTTCATGATGATTTTTTGTGCATTTTATAGTGAAAGGGCCCATACTCATATTAATCGACAAAGATTATATGCAAAATAGTGGAGCATATGTTGTATGGGATTACAGTTTCTCTGTAAAGTACATATTCTAGCACTTTTGCGTTGAGGCCAATCAGGGATTCGAACCCACACTCTCAGAGTCGGGAACCGAATCGCCAGCATACAAAGTCAATATGCTACAGCCACTGTTCTGATAGACTTGAGTAAATACCCTTGACGTGAGATATCCAAATGCAACCCACTGATTGCTGTATATCCTTGACACCCTTAGAGGCTGAATGTCACAGTGTTAATGCTATTGACACCACAGATATATACTTGTAATAAAGTCATAACTGAGCATCAAATATACGATGACCAATACACAGGTGTAGAAGATAAAAGTTATTGTTGTGTTTTAAGCAGCTAGTTTTCTGTAAAATAATTATCATTACTGTTTTGAGTATATTAACTGAACTTCATTGTTGCCAAAATATAATTGTTCTATACTAAGGTGCATAATTGTACATGCCCATTTAAACACACATTCAAATTTGCAAGCTGAAAGGTTTTTGTTAGATTTAAGTTGCTAATGAGGTCCTCCCATGTTTGTCTAAAATCTAGCTTGTTGGGTCGCTAACATTAATTGCATCAGATGATTATGTGGACTTATTAAAATGGCGTCTGCAAGACCATTGAGAGTTGGGAAGGTTTTTCCTTTTCAAAGAAAATGTAAATATATTTATGCAATATTCTACTATGATGTAGATATGGCTACCAATAACCTCACAACATGTTGCTACCTTGTGCCAGATGGCAATACCTATGACATTTCTGATTGACATATTGCCTACATAAAGTACTTAACAAATTAACTTACATTTAATTGTTCATCCTGCTCTGATAATGTTGAAAGGATTCGACATTGACATTCCAATATGTTATAAATTCACACATTTGGTATAAAAACTTCTGAAAAACTTGGGAACAATTTTGATACTTTTATTGTGGGACATTTGAGATAAATGAGATAAATGAATAAACAAAGTTATGTTTGGGATTACATTTTCTTAGTAAAATACTAACAGACGTATTTTTGAGGTTGAGTCCTATCTGGGCTTCAACCACTAAAGTAGCAGAATCTGTACTTTACTAACATATACATGCTTTTCTGAGAATTATCTATACTAGTATTTTTTTTAACTCTTTAATACAAAGTGAATAAAATGGAGAGACCTGTACATGTTCCCTGTCTTTTAGAGATCACCCGGACACAATCAAGCGACGGTTCATAAGTGTGGGGATTATCTCCCTTGTTGTACCGCCCATGCTGTGGTTCTTCAGTGAATACCAGGATTCAGATCAGGTAAGTTCAAGTCCTGATGGGTCATCAGTGGCTTGAAAGATGAAATAGGGTTTAACGTTGAGTTCAACATTATGTGACATCATACATGCATGTCTTTGTGTCTGTCTGTACTTGTGTGGATTAAACACTCTTTATAGTGCTATATGAGATGCCACAGTGTTAACATGGATACACACAGAATGACATGCTGTGATGAGTAATATGAAGGAACTGTTAGAATGTGTATATTGTTATGTGTGGTCATATGATGATGATGATGATGATGATGATGATGATGACGTGTTTCAGGCACATGGCCTACTTTCATGGCTGGGGATTCGGTTCTGGGGATTTTTGCCGGCTCTCTTTGTTCCACTGATACTCACAATGGTTAGTGTCTGTTACCATGGTTACCTGTAAAAGCAGCCCTCTGTATATATCAACCATTTGGTGTCTTTATTCCAGAGCTGCAGATAACTTTTTGGGTCATTGAGTTATGTACTCGCTTGTGTTCATCTCAATTGGGTATCCTAATTTTCCTTTGAGTAACCAAATATATTGCACCCACCTCACTCAAGTGTTATTGCGTATTTTGACATTTTCCATTAATTGTAAATATATGATAAAGTTTAAATGTTGGTTTACGTGTTTGTTATATAAATTTGATCAGTAATATGAGATTTGACCAGAAAGACTGCAAGTTGCCAAGTTCATGTGCTGAAGTAGAAACTCAATATACCTTAGTTATTTTATCTATTTGTGTGTACGCATGTAAGATCAAATTTATTGAGTATTTACATAAACCAAGCGTACTTGTACGCAATAGACCTAATAGGAATTGAGTTTTCACATAAATATTTGTGTACTTTACGCAGATACGCAGCTTATCTGTACCTCTGTTATTCTATGTTTAGTATCGCTTCCAAGTGACTATCACACATTTAATTTGGTCTTCAATAATTGTGAGAGTAATTGGTCCCTATGCCAAGACTGGGATTTTCCATTAACAGGCAACATGATGTTGCCATGCCTTTATGTTGCTTTCTATGTTGATCATTCATCTATCAGTTGCATTTGTTCTGCAGGTGCTCTTCATGGGACCTCTGGCTCTGCATTACATAGATGGAGTGTTCAGACTGTATCTGGGTAAGTTCTTCATTGTGGTGGATACTGGTGCTGGAATGTTGTTCTGGTGAAACTCTCTCTATTGTCCCTCACTTTAACCTGAGGATAGGATGAATGGAAAGGATGAGACAGTATTACCATTTGACAGCTGCTTGCAAATAAACAAATCTTGTTCAGGCAAGTTATGTATTTGTGAGCACATAACCAAGCCATGTTATAGCTGTAATATTGCTGACTACTGGTTGCCGTGTTATAGCTGTAATATTGCTGACTACTGGTTGCCGTGTTATAGCTGTAATATTGCTGACTACTGGTTGCTGTGTTATAGCTGTAATATTGCTGACTAGCTGTAATATTGCTGACTACTGGTTGCCGTGTTATAGCTGTAATATTGCTGACTACTGGTTGCCGTGTTATAGCTGTAATATTGCTGACTACTGGTTGCCGTGTTATAGCTGTAATATTGCTGACTACTGGTTGCCATGTTATAGCTGTAATATTGCTGACTACTGGTTGCCATGTTAGAGCTGTAATATTGCTGACTACTGGTTGCCATGTTATAGCTGTAATATTGCTGACTACTGGTTGCCGTGTTATAGCTGTTATAGCTGTAATATTGCTGACTACTGGTTGCCATGTTATAGCTGTAATATTGCTGACTACTGGTTGCCATGTTATAGCTGTAATATTGCTGACTACTGGTTGCCGTGTTATAGCTGTAATATTGCTGACTACTGGTTGCCATGTTATAGCTGTAATATTGCTGACTACTGGTTGCCGTGTTATAGCTGTAATATTGCTGACTACTGGTTGCCGTGTTATATGGCTGTATATTGCTGACTACTGGTTGCCGTGTTATAGCTGTAATATTGCTGACTACTGGTTGCCGTGTTATAGCTGTAATATTGCTGACTACTGGTTGCCGTGTTATAGCTGTAATATTGCTGACTACTGGTTGCCGTGTTATAGCTGTAATATTGCTGACTACTGGTTGCCATGTTATAGCTGTAATATTGCTGACTACCAGTAACATGACCTCATGATCTGCTGCAGAGCCACGTTACTGGACCAACAGTCTCAGCAACCTGATCTGGATCCGCAACCACATCGTAGTGAGTACGCACTTCATCTCTCACTTGACTTGATCAGGTTCATATGTAATTCATATCTTTAAATAAAACTCATACAGTGAAGTATGTTTGATGAAAGAGAAATGAAATTATTTAAAGCCAATAATGCTGATTCTACAATGACTTCAGTAAATACTGCATTGTGATTGGTTAATTAAAGTCATTCATTATACCTCTGATTTTCCAACACTGTCTCCAAAGTGTTATGTGACCCATACTCAGTAGGGTGATTCTCCAGTTACCTCCGTCCCAGCACCAGTTACCTATCCTCCTTCCCAAGAAAGCACCAGCTACTCTATCCTTCAGTACTTAGCTACCTCCATCCTCCCAGCACCAGTTACCCATCCCAGCACCAGCTACCTCTTATCCCAGCACCAGCTCCTCCATCCCAGCACCAGTTACCTCCATCCCTAGCACCAGCTACCTCCATCCCCACTAGTTCCACCAGCTGTTACCTCCATCCCAGCACCAGCTACCTCCACCAGTTACTCCATCCCAGCACCAGCTCACCACCAGTTACCTCCATCCAGTTACCTCCATCCCAGCACCAGCTACCTCCCATCTCAGTACCAGCTACTCCTATCCCATACCTCCATCCCAGCACCAGCTACCTCCATCCCAGCACCAGTTACCTCCATCCATCCCAGCACCAGTTACCTCCATCCCAGCACCAGCTACCTCCATCCCAGCACCACCTCCATCCCTCCTCCATCCAGCACATGTTCCCTCCCATTCTTTCATTACTTCCATCCACAGCACCAGCTACCTCCATCCCAGCACCAGTTACCTCCATCCCAGCACCAGCTACCTCCATCCCAGCACCAGTTACCTCCATCCCAGCACCAGCTACCTCCATCCCAGCACCAGTTTCCCTCCATCCCATTCCATTCTTCCATCCTCTCCATCTTCCTCCATCCACTTCCATTCCATCCCAGCACCAGTTACCTCCATCCCAGTTACCTCCATCCATTCCAGCTACCTCCATCCCAGCATTCCAGCTACCTCCATCCCAGCACCAGTTACTCTCCATCATTTCCATCCAGCTACCTCCATCCCAGCACCAGCTGTCCTTCCATCCAGCACCAGCTACCTCCATCCCAGCACAATTACCTCCTGTCCCAGCACCAGCTACCTCCATCCAGCACCAGCTACCTCCTCCTGGTCCTCCAGCACCAGCCTTCCATCCCAGCACCAGCTACCTCCATCCCAGCACCAGTTACCTCCATCCCAGCACCAGCTCCTTCCAGTTCCATCCAGCACCAGCTAACCTCCATCCCAGCACTAGTTACCTCATCCATCCCAGTCCAGCTACCTCCATCCCAGCACCAGCTACCTCCATCCCAGTAGCTACCATCCTCCAGCACCAGGTACCCTCCATCCAGCACCAGCTCCATTCCGTTTCCATCCCAGTCTGTCCTCCATCCCAGCACCAGCTACCTCCATCCCAGCACCAGTTACCTCCATCTTAGCACCAGCTACCTCCATCCCAGCACCAGTTACCTCCATCCCAGCACCAGCTACCTCCATCCCAGCACCAGCTACCTCCATCCCAGCACCAGCTACCTCCATCCCAGCACCAGTTACCTCCATCCCAGCATCCAGCTACCTCCATCCCAGCACCAGCTACCTCCGTCCCAGCACCAGTTACCTCTCCATCCAGCACCAGCTACCTCCATCCCAGCACCAGCTACCTCCATCCCAGCACCAGCTACCTCCTCCAGTCCAGTAGCATCCCAGCTACCTCCATCCCAGCACCAGCTACCTCTAGCACCAGTCCCCAGTAGCACCAGCTACCTCCGTACCTCCAGCACCAGCTACTTCCTACCTCCGTCCCAGCACCAGCTACCTCCCAGCCCAGTCCCAGCTACTCCCATCCCAGCATCAGCTACCTCCATTCCAGCATCCAGCACCTCCAGTCCCAGCACCAGTTGCCTCCATCCCAGCACCAGTTACCTCCCAGCACCAGTTACCTCCATCCCTATCCTCCATCCCAGCACCAGCTACCTCCATCCCAGCAGTTACCAGTTACCTCCATCCCAGCACCAGCTACCTCCGTCCCTCCATCCCAGCATCCCAGCACCAGTCACGCCCATCCCAGCACCAGCTACCTCATCCCATCACCAGTTACATCCCAGCACCAGCTCCATCCCAGCACCAGTCCATAGCTACCTCCATCCCAGCACCAGCTACCTCCATCCCAGCATCAGTTTTGTCCCACCCATGATTGTCGTAAGAGGCGATTTAACGGGATCGGGTGGTCAGGCTTGCTGGCTTGGTTGACACATGTCATCGGTTCATGCTGTTGATCACTGGATTGCTTTGTTCAGACTCGATTATTTACAGACCACGCCATATAGCTGGAATATTGGTGAGTGCTGTGTAAAACTAAACTCACTCACTCTATACACATATTGTGTTGAAACTTCCATTATGTTGTGGGCTTAGAGGCTGCAAGTTATTTGTTATCCTGAATGACATACAACATGCAGCCTGTCACTTCTCACATCATAGCTCCCTTTCTTTCAGGCACCATTTTCTGAGGAGTTCATATTTCGAGCATGCATGCTGCCAATCTTGGTGCCAGCATTTGGTCCAGGAACTAGCATATTTCTCTGCCCATTATTTTTTGGAGTCGGTGAGTCCTGGCCTACTTCCGTTTCATACATATTTATAGACTTTTATGGACAACAGAAAGATTTCAGACAGCATGTACATCCAGTCTGATAGTGCCCACAGTGGATGTACTTGATGCAGAATATCATAATCAACAGACATCAATGATACCTCATCCATCTTGCTACTGTGAATTGATAAGACAAACGAGCACTCCAGCTATCATCCCTAATTCATCTTATCAGCGATGTATAGTTTGTTTTGCCTCACATAAAGTGAGCTTCCTACAGTTGTTACTGTATGAGTTACCAATGTCCACAGCTTTTAATATATTTCATGCAGACCATCATGTTTCTTTTTGTAATCCCTTTTATATGTAGTAATCTGTAGTACTGCATCGATACAGAAATGTTGCATAATAACATAAACAAGTTGTCATCCATAAAGAATCTTACCTTTCAAGGGTCTGTGTAAATGCCATCCATAAAGGGTGTGTCTTACATTGCAGGGGTGTGTGTAGACGCCTGCACACAGGGGTGTGTGTAGACGCCTGCACACAGGGGTGTGTGTAGACGCCTGCACACAGGGGTCTGTGTAGACGCCTGCACACAGGGGTGTGTTTAGACGCCTGCACACAAGGGTGTGTTTAGACTCCTGTCCACAGAGGAGAGACAAGTACCTAGATGTGACTACTTTTGTTGTCATAATCCCAGTTGCTAGAACCAAATAATGCTCCTACCATACATTTCTTTTCTTTTAGCTCACTTTCATCACATGATAGAAAAGATCATTCAGGGTCAACAGGAAGTTGTGGAGGCATTCAAACAGTCAGGTAACCATGGCAGCTCAGGGTCTGTTTTTCTTGGTATCTAACACTGGGTCAACTAGCCATTCAGTGAGTTAATGGCTCTTATAGCTAAAACACATGGAATTATCATGAAACGGCCCTCCTATTATCAGAAATGTGCGGGCCGCTCAACCTTAACGACGGGCAACTATCAGTTCTGTTGTCAAGTGACGTCATAGTGGGTGTGTTGGTTCATTCGACTTTGGCTTTGGACTGGCAAATATTCTGGGGCAAACAAGTCAAAGCAACCTGAATTCCCGTTTTAAATAGCGGTAATATTGGCTTTCTAGTTGGTGCTAACCTAACAATTGCACTATTAACGTTGTTGGACCAAAACCGAACATTGACAACTGACGTGTCTCACATAGTTTGACATGTTGCAGGCCATGGTCTTGTCAAAGGCCAAGGTCGAATATAGTCACTTTCTGTTGTGACGTCACTTGAATTGTTTGATGACGTAATTGCATTCGGTCAGTCAACCCCACCAGAAGTTGGTTTTGAGTAAACTTACAGTCAAATTCCTTCCTTGTTTCCTTTTTCTTTTCAACTCAAATTCGATGTATTTTAGCAATAATAACGGTAATGCTATTTTTGAGGGCATTATCATTTGCAATGTGCATAATACACAGAGTCAATTTGGCATGTAATGAGTTCATGGCTCAATCACTGGGTCAACTTGTCATGCAATGAGTTCATGGCTCAATCACACGGTCAACTTGGCATGCAATGAGTTCATGGCTCAATCACAGGGTCAACTTGGCATGCAATGAGTCATGGGTCAATCACTGGGTCAACTTGGCATGCAATGAGTTCATGGCTCAATCACAGGGTCAACTTGGCATGCAATGAGTCATGGGTCAATCACAGGGTCAGCTTGGCATGCAATGAGTTAATGGCTCAACCACAGGGTCAACTTGGCATGCAATGAGTTCATGTCTCAAGCTGAGGGTCAACTTAGCATGCAATGAGTCATGGGTCAATCACTGGGTCAACTTGGCATGCAATGAGTCATGGGTCAGTCACAGGGTCAGCTTGGCATGCAATGAGCATGCAATGGCTTGGCATGCAATGAGTTCATGGGTCAATCACAGGGTCAGCTTGGCATGCAATGAGTTCAATGGCTCAATCACAGGGTCAACTTGGCATGCAATGAGTTCGTATGGCTCAATCACAGGGTCAACTTGGCATGCAATGAGTTCATGTCTCAAGCACAGGGTCAACTTGGCATGCAATGAGAGCTCAATGGGTCAATCACTGGGTCAGTTCATGTCTCTTGGCATGCAATGAGTCATGGGTCAATCACTGGGTCAACTTGGTGCAATGAGTCATGGGTCAGTCACAGGGTCATCTTGTCATGCAATGAGTCATGGGTCAATCACAGGGTCAGCTTGGCATGCAATGAGTTAATGGGTCAATCACAGGGTCAGCTTGGCATGCAATGAGTCATGGGTCAATCACAGGGTCAGCTTGGCATGCAATGAGTTAATGGGTCAATCACAGGGTCAAGTTGGCATGCAATGAGTTAATGGCTCAATCACAGGGTCAGCTTGGCATGCAATGAGTTCATGGCTCAATCACAGGGTCAGCTTGGCATGCAATGAGTTAATGGGTCAATCACAGGTTCAGCTTGGCATGCAATGAGTTAATGGGTCAATCACAGGGTCAGCTTGGCATGCAATGAGTCATGGGTCAATCACAGGGTCAGCTTGGCATGCAATGAGTCATGGGTCAATCACAGGGTCAGCTTGGCATGCAATGAGTCATGGGTCAATCACAGGGTCAGCTTGGCATGCAATGAGTCATGGGTCAATCACAGGGTCAGCTTGGCATGCAATGAGTTAATGGCTCAATCACAGGGTCAGCTTGGCATGCAATGAGTTAATGGGTCAATCACAGGATCAGCTTGGCATGCAATGAGTTAATGGCTCAATCACAGGGTCAGCTTGGCATGCAATGAGTCATGGGTCAATCACAGGGTCAGCTTGGCATGCAATGAGTCATGGGTCAATCACAGGGTCATGCAATGGGCTTAATCACAGGGTCAGCTTGCATGCAATGAGCAATGAGTCATGGGTCAATCACAGGGTCAGCTTGGCATGCAATGAGTCATGGGTCAATCACAGGGTCAGCTTGGCATGCAATGAGTTAATGGGTCAATCACAGGGTCAGCTTGGCATGCAATGAGTTAATGGGTCAATCACAATGTCAGCTTGGCATGCAATGAGTTAATGGGTCAATCACAGGGTCAGCTTGGCATGCAATGAGTCATGGGTCAATCACAGGGTCAGGTTGGCATGCAATGAGTCATGGCTTAATCACAGGGTCAGCTTGACATGCAATGAGTCATGGGTCAATCACAGGGTCAGCTTGGCATGCAATGAGTCATGGGTCAATCACAGGGTCAGCTTGGCATGCAATGAGTCATGGGTCAATCACAGGGTCAGCTTGGCATGCAATGAGTTAATGGGTCAATCACAGGGTCAGCTTTGCATGCAATGAGTTATGGTTCAAGCTCAGGGTCAAATTGGCATGCAATGACTTATGGCTCAAGTTATGGTTCAAGCTCAGGGTCAACTTGGCATGCAATGAGTTAAAAATGGCTCAATCTCAGTGTCAACTTGGCATGCAATGAGTTAATGGCTCAAACACTGGGTCAGTTTCGGATACAATAAGTTAATAATTTTGTATGATGTTCTACATCCTCGATAATCTCCAGGGTATACGTTACGATCACTCTCCACTATACCCTGGATGCACCCACGGCTTGGGGCGATGAGTTTATTACCTCCCTTGGCTGGCTTTTTATCCAATTAGGTGCCTACGCTGGGAAGTTGAGCGTACCAATCACAACTCACTTTCGCTTCTTAAATTATCTAACCGTTTAAACTTGGCAACACAATTGATGCAGAGGTACTCTGAAAGAAGTAGAAGGAGTTCTTTCATATATTTCTTGAAAGTTTCAGATCTGTGAATTTGTCTTTATTATTTCCCCAAAAATCTGAGTGGCACTGCGAACAAACCATCGCGACTACGACCGCTATCTATGTTGACACTGGCAAGCTCGGTTGTAACGGCGGCTTAGCTGATTGGCTACTGTGAGAATGCGGAGTCAGCCAAGGGAGGTAATAAAATCATCGCCCCCAAGCCGTGGATGCATCCAGGGTATAGTGGAGAGTGATCGTAACGTATACCCTGGAGATTATCGAGGATGGATGTTCTAATAAATTCAGAAAATACAATCTATATATTACTGTTGCAGTGTTCCAGTTATTCTACACAACCATATTTGGGGCCTACTCTGCATTTCTCTTCCTCAGAACAGGTATGTCTACAGTCAAACATGAAAGTATCTATCGACTTGCACGACGTCTAAAGTATCTATTTCTCAAACTAATGTCATGCATAAATCTAACTATTGTGTGTGTCTGTTGTAGTATTGTATAGTTTATGTTTGATGTTAAATATGTTATGCCAGTAAGGTGGATTGATCTACTGATTATTCAGGCAACACTACTAAATGGGGGCAGATGATATGGTGGTTGATATGATAAGCTTCACATTTCTATTCCTCAAGAGTCGGTTGACAAAGTTCCTCGTTCTTCTGGTACCAGCTTGTTGTTTATGCATCAGCTCTCAGCTGCCATCTTGTTGTTGCAGGTCACCTGATGGCACCTGTCATTGCACACGCCTTCTGTAACCACATGGGCTTCCCAGCCTTCAGCGAGGTGATGGGTTACCAGAAATCCACCCGCACCAGACTTGTCACCTTCTTTGTAGCGGGCATGTTGCTGTGGATTGTGGTGTTATACCCAATGACATCTCCCTGGCTGTTTGCTAACGATGTGTACAGTGTGTGAATGATATGTTGCCGTGTGACAGCTGTGTGACGAGAGTGAGAGGAAGTCGCTGCTTCATACCCACTCCGTGTCTGCTACTGATGCTACCTGTCTCCATCACCAGGGGGTGTGCAATATCCACCTGGCATGCTGGACTGTGGGTGTAACCATGGAAACAGTGGACCTCATCACCTACCAGGGATTTAACCAGATCCCGTAGTCATTTCATTTCACATTGTGTAGATTATGTTCAGGAACCTGATGGGAACAGTCTGGTGTGTTGAGGCGACACGGAACATTGTACATACCCTGTTCGGCCCACAGGATCTGCTTGGTTCAACATGAGAACAAAATCTTCCAACATGAAGGTTATCAAATGTGTGGATAGAAATATGAATGAAACTTTACTCTCTTTCAGCTCTTGCATGGTTTCAAATCATAATATTAACAGACAAAACTATTTACTTGATATTAATATATAGGTAAGGCTGAAATATGTCATAAAGGGTGACTAAAATATCTGAACAGCAGCATGTCTATGATGGAAAGCTTATTCTCTTAATGAAACCTGAGTACGATCAGTACAAACATTTATTCAACAATTAGGTCATAGACTTCCTCATATTTAAATTTCTTCCTGAAGTTGGAAGTAATTTCACTAATTTTACCTGTATTCATATATTTGATGTTGTGGGAAGTCCAAAACTTACAGGTATAGGAAATGAGAGGCTAGTTGTAAGCCATTTGAACATCTGATAATTGTCATACCAATATCCGTTATGGTGGGCCGCAGCTGGCCCTTATTGTACTGGTACATGAACCTGTGAAAGATTATATTTTCTCCTAACTGGTAGGGAAGTGTTTATAGGTATCTGTCAGTCAATGGATTGTTTCGAAGATTGAAAATTTGCTAAATCCTTGGCTTTTGTCACTGTTGACATTGTCAAGTATGACTGCTGACCTCATGGGGTGTGTGTCACGTCCATGTGAACACATTGTCATGGTGGCGTGACAGTCAGCATGTCATGTCATGACATGGTGGCGTGTCATGTTGTCGTGACATGGCGGCTTGAACATGTGAATGTTGGCAACGATTTTTTTCCCATAAGCAAAAGATTGTTTATGATTGATCATCCCAAAATGTGTCATAGATTGACAGTCCATTGGCATGTATGTGACTGACTACAAATGATCGTGTGTCCATGATTGGCTGAGGATGAATGTGGATTGTGTGTCATCACTGTGTGGATGTGGATTGTGTGACATCACAGTGAGATGTGGATTGTGTGACATCACAGGGATCTGTAGTGTGACATCACAGTAGGGATGTGTAGTGTGACATCACAGTGTGGATGTGGATTGTGTGACATCACATTGTGGATGTGTAGTGTGACATCACTGTGTGTGGATGTGGATTGTGTGACATCACAGTGTGGATTGTGTTACATCACAGTGTGGATGTGAAGTGTGATATCACAGTGTGGATGTGGATTGTGTGACATCAGTGTGGATGTGGATTGTGTGACATCACAGTGTGGATGTGAATTGTGTGACATCACTGGATGTGTAGTGTGACATTACAGTGTTGATGTGGATTGTGTGACATCTCAATGTGGATGTGGATTGTGACATCACTGTGGATGTGGATTGTGTGACATCACTGGATACGTAGTGAGACATCTCAGTGTGGATGTGGATTGTGTGACATCTCAGTGTGAATGTGGATTGTGTGACATCACAGTGTGGATGTGGATTGTGTGACATCACAGTGTGGATGTGTAGTGTAACTTTCTTTGAGTGATTCTTGGTTTTGTGTACAGTTGTCACAGCTATGGTTTAAACTGATGCAAGTGAAATATGTTGTACATGATAGTGTCTGAAATGAAGGAACATACCAGGGCATTTGTATTGACAGTAGCAATCATAGGATGTTGGGGTCTGTATAGTAAGAGAGGAAGCTGTTTTGGAGGAAAGTCTGTATATTTGTGTGTGGGTGGTTGGGGGGATGGTGTGTTGGAAGGAAGTGTGTATGTTGGGGGTTGCGGGATAGGATGCTATGTTACAAGGAAGCTTGTATGTATGTGAGGGGTCAGGTGTGGGGGTGGGGGGGGGGGGGTGGGTGGGTGGGAGAAAGATGATTTATTTGAGGGAAGTCCATATGTCCTGGGCTTGGTGTGGGTATTATAGACCAACTGTGTTACAGTCAGCAGGTTAGACAGATTTGCAATCAATGCATTCAGTTCCAGGATTGACTTTTCAGGGACAACATTTTCCATTCTTCCAAAGACCTACTGAATACTACCAATTTGAAAGCCAGCGAGATAGTCCATTCAGGTGAAAACTGCATGTCGGAGATCCAGTGGAAATACACAGAAGTTTCATTCCACACGATGGTTCTGCCATCATCTCAGATCAGTTGTTTCGTCTCTAATATTTCAATCATAGAGGAATAGATTGGTATGAAATTATTCAACTTGTTAATAAGAATATATGAAGAAATTACATTCCAGTTTCTCATTTGTCAGTTATTTGTTGCCCATTAATTGCCAAACATGTTTCCTAAGACAGAACTCTTCTCCCAGCATATTGTTTCCAGGATCCATGGATCTTGTGTGTCGCCATGACAACAAGGGGTGTCGCATCACATTATCCTGGGGGGACAATCACAATGTTGATTTGTTAATAATGTGGTTGTGGCATGTACTGTTGTTGTCACTATTGGTCCCATAGAATTGTTAAACAAGAAATCTATCATGGTGAAGTTCTTGCTATCTTTTGTGAAGGATATTCATGAAGTTGTATTTTGTTTGGTGGTAAATGTTGACCAGGATGCTGTCCCTGCTGAGTGGCTGCAAGTACAGTTTGTCCAAACTCTTGAAAGCCAGACATATAGAGGTGAGACATGACTGTAAACACAAAGGTAATACTCTAGCTCCATTCAGCAGGCATCGGCAGGTTCCCCATCATCAGAACAATACCTACTAATGGTCAATGTATGTTTTTTTCTTCATAAATTCAGAAAACATTCACCGATGTTGACCCGGGTATCTGTGGTAGTTGTCAATAAGGTGGTCGTCAGTATGTATGTTCATATAACATATATTCATAAATAACATTCATATTGGTGCGTGCTTGCTCCAAGTGGAGTGCGAACCATGTCATTTTATAATAAACTAATGGTTAGACATACTGTTTCCATGACACCTGTGTTGAGTTGCAATGTTCCAGGAATAATGGAGTGATTACGTCTTTATGTCGGTTTCAAGAAGACATTCAGCAGATGCTAGTTTCAGTTCTAGTCAGTGCCAGTCAGTATTCATGGTGCATTAATCACAGTCTTAAACATAGCAGCATAATGTAGTGACATGTGCGCAGGTATGTGACTAGTCAGCAGTATTTGTGTGATATGTGTGTCACATAAATGTATGTGAATTGTGATTTGTTGTCACCTACTACGTGAAGTATGATATCATATTTGAACCCAATACATGCAGTATGATATCATATTTGAACCCAATACATGCAGTATATCATATTTGAACTCAATACATGAAGTATGATATCATGTTTCCACCCAGAACATGAAGTATGATATCATATTTGAACCCAATACATGAAGTATGATATCATGTTTCCACCCAGAACATGAAGTATGATGTCATATTTACACCCAGAACATGAAGTATGATGTCATATTTCCACCATGAAGTGTGATATCATGTTTCCACCCAGAACATGATGTATGATGTCATATTTACACCCAGAACATGAAGTATGATGTCATATTTACACCCAGAACATAAAGTATGATGTCATGTTTCCACACAGAACATGCAGTATGATATCATATTTCCACCCAGAACATTCAGTATGATATCATATTTCCACCCAGAACACGAAGTATGATATCATGTTTGTACCATGAAGTATAACATATACTTTTCACACTTTGCTAAGGATTAAATCATGGATTCAACGGAAAACTATGATGTGGGGTCAAATTTGGTTTAAATATCGAAGCTTATTGTAAGCATGGATCCCAGGTTTCAGTTAATCATTTCATCTCGTGGAACCCATACCTGCTATTGACAGATGTTGTGTATTTGACTCGTTCCATGATTTGCAAAATGGCTGATTGGTGCCATGAAAACCAATTTTATGGTTACTCATGTATCAGGTGCATAAGGTTGGATTAAAGTGACTGTTTGCCTAAAGAGGGGTTACCATATTATAATTTATCCAGTTTCAAATTATGAATCTACATTTAAGTAAAGTTGTGAATTTTTGTGATCTTTAGCAAAGTGTGAGCAGTATATTATCACCCAGTATGTGAAGTTTGACCTGATATTACCCAGACGCGTGATGTCTCCTGATCAGACCTACTGTCATTGGGTGTAGGTGACTTCAAGTACAATAAGGGTTACATTTGAAACATGGAAACAATTAGCTTAAAGTCTGCATCAAGATTAATTGTGGAACAAATCATAATAAACCTATTCCAATTTGCCAGAGAGATCTTTAAGAAATGGCTGATCATGAATTGAATGAAGGCCACTGATCATCCCTACTTGCAGCAAACAGGGTAACAATAGTATATACACTCTGGCAGTATTCCTTGAACCCTCGGGTATGAGGGCTATCTACACAGGACACAGGGTGGGACTCCCACCACAATACTGACTACACTGCAGACTCCCAGTGTGGGATACTGTTCTTGGGACATTGTGCTCTCTTGTTTCTTTTGACATACTCTTGCATTGTATCAGAAATGTATAATACTGAATCATGAAATAAATCATTGTTTCTTGTACAAATGTCTCTTCAGTTTGTCCTGCTTGTTTGGACCAGCGTACCACACGTAAGCCCTTTCTTGGATTTCCTCCAACCACACCTACCTTACAACATGGCTTGTTGTGTAATGAACTGAAGCAAACATTTTATGACATACTAGACAATCATTTCTCATTGTCTCAGCAGGGCAATGGTATTGCCCCAAGTGAACATGTTAAGTGATATAAGGATTGGGTTTCCTGGTTCCAAGGTATGTGTAAGACAATGTTTCATGTCATACTGGATTCATGCGTTTGGCTAATATACAAACAAATTCAGAAACACAATCCTGGGGAACCAGGGTCTGAACACCTTCATGAGTATCTACAGTGCCCAAGGGATGCAACTCTACACCGCAGCTAAGATGACTGGGCTACACATGGTAATAATGCGTCTTGGGAAACATCTGTATACCTCAGGGGACTGGGCTACACATCCACACACGGGTGGTAATGAGGCGTCTTCTCGAGGCGTCTTCTCAAGGGTTGCAACTCTACACTGCGCATGAGATGACTGGGCTACACGTGCCCCCGGGAGGGGTAATGAGGCGTCTTCTCAAGGGATGCAACTCTACACCTCAGGGGACTGGGCTACATGCCCCCCCTCCGGGGTGGTGTGTGGTGGTGGTAATGATGCGTCTTCTCAAGGGATGCAACTCTACACTGCGCCTGAGTTGTCTGGGTTACACGTGCCCCCGGGAGGGGTAATGAGGCGTCTTCTCATGGGACGAAACTAAACACCGCGCCTGAGATGACTGGGTTATCTGTGCCCCCGGGAGGGGTGATGTGCGTCTTCTCAAGGGACGCAACTCTACACTGTACTGATGATCTCAGCAACCAACCTTAACTGGTTGTATTACTTGTACAAACACCCGTATACCGCATTTGCTTCTACATGTATCCCTTGTCACTGGCTTCTACTTGTAATCCCTTGTCATCACATTGTTACTGTACATCCCTATTCACGTCCATCTTGTTTTAGTTAATTATTTACTGTATATATAGTCCCCTGTTTTCTAACTTACTTATACTTGCTTGACAACGATACAAGAATCTGTATCGAAACGTCGCATCTACCGAATAAAAAAGTTTATCCATACAGTTTGTCTGTATATTACTCCCCAACTTCTAAACAATGCCACTCAAAGAAGTTAGACAGGAACTAGGTTACTATACCTTAACAGAATCTGATAACTGCTGTTGCAGATACAATCGAAAAAGGAAACAAGAAGAAAGTGCATAATCTATGTTCAGAATATATTTATGGTAGACATGAAATGTTCAAAATGTTTCGTAAATGCCTTGTACAGACAACTATAGTGCCTATGGCGCCAGTTCCTGGTCTGATACAGGCACCACGGGTTTGAGGAGCTGCCTGCTGGACATTGGGTTACCGTAGTTGACGGCCCACGCGCGAGGACGTTGCTGGTTGTTGCGCTGTTTCATCTCTCTAACTAATTGCCGTAAACCTCGTTCACGATCCTGTATGCTGTTCCTGGGTGACACGTGAGTTGAAGGGGCCAGACAGCCTATGTCTCGACTGGAAACTACATTATCTTCCTCAAGCGCTACTCCACCAAGGAAGATGTACGCCTTAGACGTGCCGGGTTCCACGGACTGCCCGCTCGGTGCCCGGATGTTGAAGCCGATGCTGTGGTAAGTGGACAGGCGTTGACATGGAAAGTATCGACACTGGGAGGGCATCGCATGGAATCTACATTGCGAGCCACACCCAGGAGTGACCCGGAGGTCTGACACGATGTTTTGGCTAGGGGAATGGTTTAAAGAATGCACAGTCGCTGGGTGTTGTAAACTTGTTGAAGTAGTACCATTGCAGGACCGCAACTCCTGCTCCAGTGACTTGGTCTCGCGACACAAAAGCTTCTCCTGTTTCTTGTAGGATGACTCGAGGATGCCAATCTTGTCCTGTAGAAGACGACGGGCGGTCTTGTTCATGCGCCGGGCCTGCAGAGCCGCCTGGTGGTTCTTCCGCTGGAGGCGCTTCTGGATGTCCATTGTGGTGCAGTTATCTGCAAGGCAACACATTTATTACAGTCTCTCTTTTTGTCTGCAGTTCGTTATTAGAGTATCAAAGAAGAACATCTATTAAAGTGACGATAAAAGGCTGGAATCAAGACGTTATAAACAACATAACATTAAAAATATGCAAATTCCCCAGTGAATACAGTACCCTGTCAACGAACTCCCCAGTTAATAGGGGCGGTGGGGTAGCCTAGTGGTTAAAGCGTTCGCTCGTCACGCCGAAGGCCCGGGTTCGATTCCCCACATGGGTACAACTTGTGAAGCCCATTTCTGGTGTCCCCTGCCGTGATATTGCTGGAATATTGCTAAAAACGGCGTAAAACCATACTCAGCCAGTCAGCCCCAATTAATACAGTACCCTGTCAACAAACACATTAGTGAATACAGTACCCTGTCAACAAACCCCCCAGTGAATATTGTACCCTGTTGACAAACACCTTAGTAAATACAGTACCCTGTCAACAAACACCCCAGTGAACATAGTACCCTGTTGACAAACTCCCCAGTGAATACAGTACCCTGTTGACAAACGCCCCAGTGAATACAGTACCCTGTCAACAAACTCCCCAGTGAATACAGTACCCTGTTGACAAACGCCCCAGTGAATACATTACCCTGTTGACAACCGCCGCAGTGAATACAGTACTCTGTTGACAAACTCCCCAGTGAATACAGTACCCTGTTGACAAACGCCCCAGTGAATACATTACCCTGTTGACAACCGCCCCAGTGAATACAGCACCCTGTCAATACTAGTGAATACAGTACCCTGTTGACAACCGCCGCAGTGAATACAGTACTCTGTTGACAAATGCCCCAGTGAATACAGTACCCTGTCAACAAACTCCCCAGTGAATACAGTACCCTGTTGACAACCGCCGCAGTGAATACAGTACCCTGTTGACAAACGCCCCAGTGAATACATTACCCTGTTGACAAATGCCCCAGTGAATACAGTACCCTGTCAACAAACTCCCCAGTGAATACAGTACCCTGTCAACAAACTCCCCAGTGAATACAGTACCCTGTTGACAACCGCCGCAGTGAATACAGTACTCTGTTGACAAACTCCCCAGTGAATACAGTACCCTGTTGACAAACGCCCCAGTGAATACATTACCCTGTTGACAAATGCCCCAGTGAATACAGTACCCTGTCAACAAACTCCCCAGTGAATACAGTACCCTGTTGACAACCGCCGCAGTGAATACAGTACCCTGTTGACAAACGCCCCAGTGAATACATTACCCTGTTGACAAATGCCCCAGTGAATACAGTACCCTGTCAACAAACTCCCCAGTGAATACAGTACCCTGTCAACAAACTCCCCAGTGAATACATTACCCTGTTGACAACCGCCGCAGTGAATACAGTACTCTGTTGACAAACTCCCCAGTGAATACAGTACCCTGTTGACAAACGCCCCAGTGAATACATTACCCTGTTGACAAATGCCCCAGTGAATACAGTACCCTGTCAACAAACTCCCCAGTGAATACAGTACCCTGTTGACAACCGCCGCAGTGAATACAGTACCCTGTTGACAAACGCCCCAGTGAATACATTACCCTGTTGACAAACGCCACAGTGAATACAGTACCCTGTCAACAAACTCCCCAGTGAATACAGTACTCCCCAGTGGCAGAATACATGTTCAATGAAACCCCAGTAGACAGAAAACCCTGTCTATAAAGGCCCCAGTAGACGATCGAAGTACCATATCCATAAAAGCCCGAGTAGACAGAATACGCTGTCAATAAAAGTCCCAGTAGTCAATCAAGGTTCCTGTGGATACAAGCATTAGTAGACAGAATACCTTGAGGATATTTTTCCAGTCCGCTTGTGACCTGGTATGATGGGCTTTTGTTACAGTCCGCTTGTGACCTGGTATGATGGACTTTTGTCATAGTCTCAATGTGACCTGGTATGAAGGGTTTTTGTCATAGTCTCAATGTGACCTGGTATGAAGGACTTTTGTCATCGTCTCAATGTGATCTGGTATGATGGGCTTTTGTCATCGTCTCAATGTGACCTGGTATGAAGGACTTTTATCATCGTCTCAATGTGACCTGGTATGATGGACTTTTGTCATCGTCTCAATGTGACCTGGTATCAAGGACTTTTGTCATAGTCTCAATGTGACCTGGTATGATGGACTTTTGTCATAGTCTCAATGTGACCTGGTATCAACGACTTTGTCAGCGTCTCAATGTGACCTGGTATGATGGACTTTTGTCATAGTCTCAATGTGACCTGGTATCAAGGACTTTTGTCATCGTCTCAATGTGACCTGGTATGAAGGACTTTTGTCATCGTCTCAATGTGACCTGGTATGAAGGACTTTTGTCATAGTCTCAATGTGACCTGGTATGAAGGACTTTTGTCATAGTCTCAATGTGACCTGGTATGAAGGACTTTTGTCATCGTTTCAATGTGACTTGGTATCAAGGACTTTTGTCATAGTCTCAATGTGACCTGGTATGATGGACTTTTGTCATAGTCTCAATGTGACCTGGTATCAAGGACTTTTGTCATCGTCTCAATGTGACCTGGTATGAAAGGTTTTTTTCCAAGTTCCCCTGTGACATAGTGTGAGGGCTTTTGTCATAGTCTACTTGTGATCTCGTATGAAGGGTTTTTGTCATATAGTCCACTTGTGATCTGGTATGAAGGGCTTTTGTCATAGTCTACTTGTGATCTGGTATGAAGGGCTTTTGTCATATAGTCTACTTGTTATCTCGTATGAAGGGCTATTGTAATAGTCTACTTGTGATCTGGTATGAAGGGCTTTTGTCATAGTCTACTTGTGATCTGGTATGAAGGGCTTTTGTCATATAGTCTACTTGTGATCTCGTATGAAGGGCTATTGTAATAGTCTACTTGTGATCTGGTATGAAGGGCTTTTGTCATATAGTCTACTTGTTATCTCGTATGAAGGGCTATTGTAATAGTCTACTTGTGATCTGGTATGAAGGGCTTTTGTCGTAGTCTATTTGTGATCTGGTATGAAGGGCTTTTGTCATATAGTCTACTTGTGATCTCGTATGAAGGGCTATTGTAATAGTCTACTTGTGATCTGGTATGAAGGGCTTTTGTCATAGTCTACTTGTGATCTGGTATGAAGGGCTTTTGTCATATAGTCAACTTGTGATCTGGTATGAAGGGTTTTTGTCATAGTCAGAGTGTTCTGGTTGGTGCTGCAGTAGATAGCACTTTAAGATAGTGTAGCAGCCAGTACAGTAGACACAACGGTAGCCGGTACAGTAGACACAACGGTAGCCGGTACAGTAGCCGGTACAGTAGACACAACAGCATCCGGTACAGTAGACAGTACAGTAGACACAACAGTAGCCAGTACAGTAGACACAACAGTAGCCAGTGTCCGCCAGTACAGTCGACACATTAGTAGCCAGTACAGTAGACACAACAGTAGCCGGTACAGTAGCCGGTACAGTAGCCAGTACAGTAGACACAACAGTAGCCAGTATAGTATTCATAACAGTAGCCAGTACAGTATACATAACAGTAGACTATAGAGTAGATAGTAGCCAGTACAGTAGACACAACAGTAGCCAGTACAGTAGCCATAACAGTAGACTATAGAGTAGATAGTAGCCAGTACAGTAGACACAGCAGCAGCTACAACAGTAGCCAGTACAGTAGCCAGTACAGTGAACACAACAGTAGCCAGTACAGTAGACACAACAGTAGCCAGTACAGTAGACACAACAGTAGCCAGTACAGTAGACACAACAGTAGCCACAACAGTAGCCAGTACAGTAGACACAACAGTAGTCAGTACAGTATACTTAACAGTAGACTATAGAGTAGACAGTAGCCAGTACAGTAGACACAACGGTAGCCAGTATAGTAGACACAACAGTAGCCAGTACAGTAGACACAACAGTAGCCAGTACAGTTTACACAACAGTAGCCACAACAGTAGCCAGTACAGTAGACACAACAGTAGCCACAACAGTAGCCAGTACAGTATACATAACAGTAGACTACAGAGTAGATAGTAGCCAGTACAGTAGACACAACAGTAGCCAGTACAGTATACATAACAGTAGACTATAGAGTAGACAGTAGCCAGTACAGTAGACACAACAGTAGCCAGTATAGTAGCCACAACAGTAGCCAGTACAGTAGCCACAACAGTAGCCAGTACAATAGACACAACAGCAGCCAGTACAGTAGACACAACAGTAGCCACAACAGACACAACAGTACAGTAGACACAACAGTAGCCAGTACAGTAGACAATAACAGTAGCCAGTACAGTATACTTAACAGTAGCCAGTACAGTAGACACAACAGTAGCCAGTATAGTAGACACAACAGTAGCCACAACAGTAGCCGGTACAGTAGACACAACAGTAGCCAGTACAGTAGACAGCAGTAGCCACAACAGTAGCCAGTACAGTAGACACAACAGTAGCCACAACAGTAGCCAGTACAGTATACATAACAGTAGCCAGTAGAGTAGATAGTAGCCAGTACAGTAGACACAACAGTAGCCAGTACAGTATACATAACAATAGACTATAGAGTAGACAGTAGCCAGTACAGTAGACACAACAGTAGCCAGTATAGTAGCCACAACAGTAGCCAGTACAGTAGCCACAACAGTAGCCAGTACAATAGACACAGCAGCAGCCAGTACAGTAGACACAACAGTAGACACAACAGTAGCCAGTACAGTAGACACAACAGTAGCCAGTACAGTATACTTAACAGTAGCCAGTACAGTAGACACAACAGTAGCCAGTATAGTAGACACAACAGTAGCCACAACAGTAGCCGGTACAGTAGACACAACAGTAGCCAGTACAGTAGACACAACAGTAGCCACAACAGTAGCCAGTACAGTAGACACAACAGTAGCCACAACAGTAGCCAGTACAGTAGACACAACAGTAGCCAGTATAGTATACATAACAGTAGACTATAGAGTAGACAGTAGCCAGTACAGTAGACACAACAGTAGCCAGTACAGTATACACAACAGTAGACTATAGAGTAGACAGTAGCCAGTACAGTTGACACAGCAGTAGCCAGTATAGTAGACACAACAGTAGCCAGTAGAGTAGACACAACAGTAGCCACAACATTAGCCAGTACAGTAGACACAACAGTAGCCAGTACTGTAGACACAACAGTAACCAGTATAGTAAGCACAACAGTAGCCGGTACAGTAGACACAACAGTAGACCGTACAGTAGACACAACAGTAGGCCGTACAGTAGACACAACAGTAGCCAGTACAGTAGCCACAACAGTAGCCAGTACAGTAGCCACAACAGTAACCAGTACAGTAGACACAACAGTAGCCACAACAGTAGCCAGTACAGTAGACACAACAGTCGACACAACAGTAGACACAACAGTAGACCGTACAGTAGACACAACAGTAGACCGTACAGTAGACATTATATAGTAGACTGTACTGTAGACACAACAGTAGCCAGTACAATAGACACAGCAGCAGCCAGTACAGTCGACACAACAGTCGCCAGTACAGTAGACACAACAGTAGACCGTACAGTAGACACAACAGTAGACCGTACAGTAGACATTATATAGTAGACCGTACAGTAGACACAACAGTAGCCAGTACAATATACACAACAGTAGACTATAGAGTAGACAACAGTAGCCACAACAGTAGCCAGTACAGTAGCCACAACAGTAGCCAGTACAGTAAACACAACAGTAGCCAGTATAGTAAACACAACAGTAGCCGGTACAGTAGACACAACAGTAGCCAGTACAGTAGACACAACAGTAGCCGGTACAGTAGACACAACAGTGGCCGGTACAGTAGACACAACAGTAGCCAGTACAGTAGCCACAACAGTAGCCAGTATAGTAGACACAACAGTAGCCAGTACAATAGACACAGGAGCAGCCAGTACAGTCGACACAACAGTAGCCACAACTGTAGCCAGTACAGTAGACACAACAGTAGCCAGTATAGTAGCCACAACTGTAGCCAGTACAGTAGACACAGCAGCAGCTACAACAGTAGCCAGTACAGTAGACACAACAGTAGCCAGTACAGTAGACACAACAGTAGCCACTACAGTAGACACAACAGTAGCCACAACAGTAGCCAGTACAGTAGACACAACAGTAGTCAGTACAGTATACTTAACAGTAGACTATAGAGTAGACAGTAGCCAGTACAGTAGACACAACAGTAGCCACAACAGTAGCCAGTACAGTAGACACAACAGTAGTCAGTACAGTATACTTAACAGTAGACTATAGAGTAGACAGTAGCCAGTACAGTAGCCACAACGGTAGCCAGTATAGTAGACACAACAGTAGCCAGTACAGTAGACACAACAGTAGCCACAACAGTAGCCAGTACAGTAGACACAACAGTAGCCACAACAGTAGCCAGTACAGTATACATAACAGTAGCCAGTAGAGTAGATAGTAGCCAGTACAGTAGACACAACAGTAGCCAGTACAGTATACATAACAGTAGACTATAGAGTAGACAGTAGCCAGTACAGTAGACACAACAGTAGCCAGTATAGTAGCCACAACAGTAGCCAGTACAGTAGCCACAACAGTAGCCAGTAATATAGACACAGCAGCAGCCAGTACAGTAGACACAACAGTAGCCACAACAGTAGCCAGTACAGTAGACACAACAGTAGCCAGTACAGTATAGTTAACAGTAGCCAGTACAGTAGACACAACAGTAGCCAGTATAGTAGACACAACAGTAGCCACAACAGTAGCCGGTACAGTAGACACAACAGTAGCCAGTACAGTAGACACAACAGTAGCCACAACAGTAGCCAGTACAGTAGACACAACAGTAGCCACAACAGTAGCCAGTACAGTAGACACAACAGTAGCCAGTATAGTATACATAACAGTAGACTATAGAGTAGACAGTAGCCAGTACAGTAGACACAACAGTAGCCAGTACAGTATACATAACAGTAGACTATAGAGTAGACAGTAGCCAGTACAGTTGACACAGCAGTAGCCAGTATAGTAGACACAACAGTAGCCAGTAGAGTAGCCACAACAGTAGCCACGACAGCAACATTAGCCAGTACAGTAGACACAACAGTAGCCAGTACTGTAGACACAACAGTAACCAGTATAGTAAGCACAACAGTAGCCGGTACAGTAGACACAACAGTAGACCGTACAGTAGACACAACAGTAGACCGTACAGTAGACACAACAGTAGCCAGTACAGTAGCCACAACAGTAGCCAGTACAGTAGACACAACAGTCGACACAACAGTAGACACAACAGTAGACCGTACAGTAGACACAACAGTAGACCGTACAGTAGACATATATAGTAGACTGTACCGTAGACACAACAGTAGCCAGTACAGTCGACACAACAGTAGCCACAACAGTAGCCAGTACAGTAGTCACAACAGTAGCCAGTACTGTAGACACAACAGTAGACCGTACAGTAGACACAACAGTAGACCGTACAGTAGACATTATATAGTAGACTGTACTGTAGACACAACAGTAGCCAGTACAATAGACACAGCAGCAGCCAGTACAGTCGACACAACAGTCGCCAGTACAGTAGACACAACAGTAGACCGTACAGTAGACACAACAGTAGACCGTACAGTAGACATTATATAGTAGACCGTACAGTAGACACAACAGTAGCCAGTACAATATACACAACAGTAGACTATAGAGTAGACAACAGTAGCCACAACAGTAGCCAGTACAGTAGCCACAACAGTAGCCAGTATAGTAAACACAACAGTAGCCAGTACAGTAAACACAACAGTAGCCAGTACAGTAGACACAACAGTAGCCGGTACAGTAGACACAACAGTGGCCGGTACAGTAGACACAACAGTAGCCAGTACAGTAGACACAACAGTAGACCGTACGGTAGACATTATATAGTAGACCGTACAGTAGACACAACAGTAGCCAGTTCAGTAGGTAAGTCCTGTCATTGAATTTGATCGGTTGTTGTGATTCCAGTTAAATCCGTTAGTTTAACGCAGAGTTTATAGGGATTAGCTGGGATATATGTTGCCATGTTGCTAAGGAATTCAGTGTAATTTGTCAACATGATCTATCGCATATTGTATTATATGGCTTCTTAGAATGGGCGCGCGTTGTCCAGATCATGTGTGTGGTGCTTGTGGGTGTAGACGGAGATAGCATCTAACGCCGTCCCGGGCGGGTACACACACACCAGAGGGGTATCGCATTACACACAGACAAACGCTTGGACGATTGCCACCACACGCCACGGAAACACATACTGTTTGGGATAACATACTGTTTGGGATAACATACATCAGAAATACCATGCATTTAGGGCTGCGGTGTACCATAGCCTGACAGAATACATGTAGTTTCGTCTTTTGAGGTTTTTGAAGTTCTAAGATTTACAGTTATTTGATGTTAACCAACTAAAAGCGGGACACTTTGGCTGGGTAGCTAGGGATTCATGATCAAACTCTCCGCAAAAAAACCTCTTGATTTTAAATACGACATACGGAGATGGCCTAGCCTGGTTTGAACAAGAAACTAGCGTCTGGTGGCAATGAGTGCACCTTATGAGCTGATTTCTGAAATGTACCCCTGTTTCTATAAACACTGAACACGGAGTGTAGTGACAGTGGAAATCCGTGTGATTGAGAAACACCATCCTACCTCTACCTGAGATCAGGTGATGATACTGTCACAGATCCTCAGTATGAGCCGAGGTGTCAGCTCCTCCACAGCCCTTCCACTCAGACTACACACAGCTGCTACTCATGTAACAACAGACAGCTCCACTTCGCTAGCTGGCGGTTACACCGGTGTTGCGTGCTGACTCGTGTCCTGGGTAATGACGGAGTCTACACTCACGGTATTGATGATTAGGACTCCTACATGGTCCCGGAGAGGCAAACTACAGCCCACAGGGTGAATAGAGTTGACCAAACTATAGTATATGACGTCAAACTATACTGTGTGACGTCAAACTACATTGTATGACGGTGTGACGGAGAAAGATGACTGGTATGTCACGAGGACAGATGACACTGTATAGTGGTGTCTTGGAGATAGATGACTGTGTCACGGAGATAGATGACTGTATGACTGTATGACGGTGTCACGGAGATAGATGGCTGTATGACGGTGTCAGTGAGATAGATGACTGTATGACGGTGTCACGGAGATAGATGACTGTATGACGGTGTCACGGAGATAGATGACTGTATGACGGTGTCACGGAGATAGATGACTGTTGTGGCACGGAGATAGATGACTGTATGACGGATGTCACGTATGACGGTGTCACGAAGATAGATGACTGTTGTGGCACGGAGATAGATGACTGTATGACGGTGTCACGAAGATAGATGACTGTTGTGGCACGGAGATAGATGACTGTATGACGGTGTCACGGAGATAGATGACTGTTGTGGCACGGAGATAGATGACTGTATGACGGTGTCACGGAGATAGATGACTGTTGTGGCACGGAGATAGATGACTGTATGACGGTGTCACGAAGATAGATGACTGTTGTGGCATGGAGATAGATGACTGTATGACGGTGTCACGGAGATAGATGACTGTTGTGGCACGGAGATAGATGACTGTTGTGGCATGGAGATAGATGACTGTATGACGGTGTCACGGAGATAGATGACTGGTGTGGCATGGAGATAGATGACACTATATAATGGCTTCACGGATCCTGATGACACTGTGTGACAGCGCCTGTTGTCCAGGTGACAGATGGACACACAGGTCTGTCGCCTAAATCTGCAACAGGGTATAACATAAATGTATTGGGAAGTCTTTCCCAGTGTGTTTCTGTGACTGAGTGTGCAGTGAAGCTATGCGTTTCACCGCAATTACAGTGTTCTGGCAGGAGTAAATATGTGAATAGACTCCACGGACATACACCACCACCCTCGCTCAATGGATCCCAGCCATTATACCGAGTCATTGTCCGCGTGTACATGGGGATATTAACTGTCGCACCTGCCAAATTTGTCTTTAGAAACATATGCTTGTCGTAAGAGGCGACCATTTGAATCGGATTGACTGATTCTTTGAATTGGTCGATGCATGTCATCGTATCCAAATTACTTCAAACAAAAAACAACAAACCAAACAGATACACTAAACGCCAAAAGAAACGTTACCCTCCTTCCTTAATGATGGAGGTACCTATCTTCAACTGGCGTTGTGATGCGTGGACGTCCACTTCTTGGTCTGTCTTCGGTGACCCCAGTCTGTCTGAAGCCCTGAATAAGTCTTATAACCGTGATACAGTGGCATCCGTGGGCGTTGGCAACAGCATTGTATGTAGATCCCATCTGCACCAACCAATGGCTCTTTCTCTCTCTTTACTTGTTAATCGTGGCATATTTCTCGTACTTGTGTATCATATCATCTTTTCTAGGCTCTTTTCAAATCCTATAGAATCATTCTACATATGAAATGGATGCAAATACTGCTTGAATATTGCTGTGTGTAAACAGAAAATAAAAAAATGTTACTTTGCAAGCAAAAATGTTAACAAAGATCATTGTAGAAGTTCCTAAACATGTTTTCACAATATCAAAGACACGTTTTACACTAATGCAAATCAGCAGAAAAAAATGTTTTAAAAGACTGAAATCATAGGAATGATTATTTGACAATTTTACACACTCTACACAGTTGTTTCTTGTTTTAATAGTTGGAAAATGGTGACTTTAAATGGTTTATCGTCGTCCCAAAGCAGAATTTATTTCAACCTTTCTTTTGGACATCTAAATCACTGTTATTTGTGTATTTCGACATGGACAAAAATAGGACAATTAAACTCTTCTGAAAAAGATGCATTTCACCTAAATATAATTGCATTTGGGAATTTCTTTCAGTGATTTGAATAAAGCTGTGTTGTTAAGCTTTCTTGTAAACTAATACCTTGTAACATATTTTGTATAGTTTTTAAGTAATTCGTAAAGGTAGGAGGATAACGTTTCTTTTGGCGTGTAGTGTAAGCTACCCAGGTTTACTTGGGCATATAAACTACCCGGGTTTACTTGGGCATATAGATTTCCCGGGTTTACTGCACATGTGTGGACACAAGGGGGCGTTCAGGTCAGTACCTAGTGACACTACCCCTTACCGCCGTCACTGCTCGACACCGCCTTGGAAGGGATTGCACAAGTCGTCGGATTTTTGCTTGGGGAATTCTTCGCCATTCCTCCTACAACCAGTTCTGCAAGAGTCTGGGGACGATGGTGACGTTTACGGCCGCGTCGATCAAGATCGTCCCATAGATGCTCGATCGGGTTCAGATCAACGCCAAGGGAGGACATTGACGTTTGCATATGTGGGAATAAGACCTGTTACACGAGCTGTGTGGGGTCAAGCGTTGTCGTGTGGAAACAGCTCCCTCTGGCGGTTAAGGTGTTGGATAAGGTGAGGTTGCAGGATTTGGTCGATGTAGCGGTTTACTGTAAGATTGCCTTGAACCACCACTAGCTCTGATCTACCAGCGTAGGACATGGCTCCCCACACCATGACGCCTCCTCAACCAAGTCTGTCCACCTGTCGAACGCAGTTCGGCGCAAAACGTTCGTGTCGACATTGATAGACACGTTGTCTCCCATCCCGTCGTTGCAGGAGGAAACACGATTCATCGCTGAACCAAACGCGTCGGCAGTTCCCCATGTTCCACACCTTTGCCCTGTTGCACCATTGGACACGTCGTTGTCGGTGTAGTGTCTAGAGATTTCCAACTTTTGGTCGATCTGCTCGAATTCCCACTTATCTCAGACGATTTCTGATGGTTTGGTCGAAAATTCTTCGAAGACCAGGCACCTGTCCTGCAGTGTCCGTTGCTGTAGCAAATCGATGACGTAGGTGAAACACCCGGATGAGTCGGTCCTGAACAGGAGTGGTCACTCTTGGTCTTCCACTTCTGGGAGGATCTTGGTCAAATAGAAGCGCGTATATCGATGTCATAATCAAGATATGGTGCTGTGGTGGACGTTGAAGTGTCTTGCAACGGCAGACTGGGACTCCCCTGCTTCCAAACGTCCAGTGGCGATATTTAGGACAGCAGCATTCAATCTTGGCATTTCTATCTCCGTTTACGTCGTAATTTTCGTAGTGAAATGATGAATTTGGTTTGGCCTTTTATAGTCGATGTGTCTACTCATGCGGCCGACACATTGTACGTGCATCACGTGGAAAACTCTTTCTGCATGCATTTTCATGTATCGTTTTCAATTTTTATGACAAACGTTTACAAACACAGTTTGGGACGCGCAATGCACAACAAGCACCACATGATTAACGGCATCCAAACATAGTAATTGTCTTCATGACGATTGCTGTCAAAATATATCAAAATGTACTACTGAAAACGCCGGTGCGTTTCTTTCTTTGATGAGTGTATATTTGCGTGTAGTAAATTCTCGGATATATAGAGGAAGATTAACTTGTAAGTCACAATCAAAACACTTTTCGAAACATTTACGTTATCTTTTGCGAATTAAAAAAAGCGTGTAAAAAATAAAGAGATATGTGTACTTCTTTTGTACATAGGTTTAGGCCTCAAAGTAACCCTAACCGGAACCCTGACCGCATGACAGTTTTAATAAATCTCTGGCATGTTTGACGTTTTAGTTTGTGCATGCTATGAATTGTCACCATGTATATATGCACAGTGTTTGTATGCAAAAGTTTGACACATTTAATTCAGATATTGGGTGACTGGTTTGAGCAATTATCTGAGCCCCACTTTTGTGTTCGCCCCTTTCTGCCATTTGCCACAGTGCCCCCGAGAAGCTATGTACAGCTGGGACGAGAAGTGAAGTAGAGCTGGGACGAGAAGTGAAGTACCAGTGCCACCTATAAGTCACAGTGTCAGGTTGAGTACAAGACGTATACATGTAATACAGCATTTTGTGGGTAACACGTTCAGTGGAAGTTACGTGGATATCAAATGGAAACACCGCGTTCATACCGCCATCATCAGCAGGATGAGCCACTACTACATCAGTGGAAATTAGCCTTAGAGTCCCGGGACACACCTAGTCTCACACCTGTCTACATCAGTGGATGCTAGCCTTAGAGTCCCGGGACACACCTGGTCTGATCATTGTCTCACACCTGTCTGCATCAGTGGATGTTAGCCTTAGAGTCCCGGGACACACCTGGTCTGATCATTGTCTCACACCTGTCTGCATCAATGGATGTTAGCCTTAGAGTCCCGGGACACACCTAGTCTCACACCTGTCTACATCAGTGGATGTTAGCCTTAGAGTCCCGGGACACACCTGGTCTGATCATTGTCTCACACCTGTCTGCATCAGTGGATGTTAGCCTTAGAGCCCCGGGACACACCTGGTCTGATCATTGTCTCACACCTGTCTGCATCAGTGGATGTTAGCCTTAGAGTCCCGGGAAACACCTTGTCTCACACCCGTCTGCATCAGTGGATGTTAGCCTTAGAGTCCCGGGACACACCTGGTCTGATCATTGTCTCACACCTGTCTGCATCAGTGGATGTTAGCCTTAGAGTCCCGGGACACACCTAGTCTCACACCTGTCTGCATCAGTGGAAATTAGCCTTAGAGTCCCGGGACACACCTAGTCTCACACCTGTCTACATCAGTGGATGTTAGCCTTAGAGTCCGGGACACACCTGGGGACACACCTGGTCTGATCATTGTCTCACACCTGTCTGCATCAGTGGATGTTAGCCTTAGAGTCCCGGGACACACCTGGTCTGATCATTGTCTCACACCTGTCTGCATCAGTGGATGTTAGCCTTAGAGTCCCGGGACACACCTAGTCTCACACCTGTCTGCATCAGTGGATGTTAGCCTTAGAGTCCCGGGACACACCTGGTCTGATCATTGTCTCACACCTGTCTGCATCAGTGGATGTTAGCCTTAGAGTCCCGGGACACACCTAGTCTCACACCTGTCTGCATCAGTGGATGTTAGCCTTAGAGTCCCGG